TATATATAAAGGAAAGCTTAAATCTCCCAAATTGTTAACCTATTAATTTTGTAGCCACGCTTTTTAAGATTTGGCAAAGTAACTAAATTAAAAAAAAATCATCTTACTTTAATTTATTTATTTACTATCACTAAGTAAATTATTTCCTAGCGACGGTACCAGTTGGCAGTCAGGGCGTAAGTGCTTTAAACTCGGGAACAATGGCCTAAATTTAAATGGTTGTTAAAATCGAATCGTCGTAAATTGTTAAAGAGGTGTTCTTTTTTAACAGGCTGTTTCCTTCCTTGATTCGAGTATTCTTACAATATAATGTAATATAATGCAATGCAATGTTAAGTAATATAATATAACATGACAGTTTAAAAAATATGTAATAAATTTAAAAATATAATAAGTTTCTAGAAATACTTATTTTACTTACTTTATTATTTCTCAAGTAAAAGGGAATTCATACTTTTTTGGAAGCAATTATTCCCTAATATTCAGAAGGTAGGGATTTTTAATTGAAGAAGAACGGTTAAGTTCGGAATCGAAACCACGTGAGTGATTTTATGTTTTTGTTTTGGTTTGCAAAATCGAATATGATTGACTATAATCTTTCTCAAATTACCGACTTAAGTGAAATTTGATTCCAGATAATAATCTTTGTTTTGACACGCTTCATTTAGATTTTTTGCTGAAACCCATAAATTTTCTCTCTCTTTCATCACTTTTGGAATGCTTAAGGGAAAATATACATTACCTGTTTGTGTCCTACTTCAGCTAGTTCTGTCACTTTGAACGAAAGAATAAAAACAAAATGTGTTTTTAATTTCTTATTACTGCTTTGACGTATCGTTTGAAAGAATGTATGACCCATTTTTGACCAGTCCCTGATCTAGGTCCAACTATTCGAAACTAATAACAAATTTACTTTTATCGGTGGAATGCCAGAACAGATAAAATATATGAGTGCTCTATGGATTATATTATTTAATTAGTAGTAAAATTTTATAATAACTCACTGGTGTGAATGAAGTTGTAGAAAATATTTTTGAACCAAACATGACTAAAATACGTCCTGATCTTTACCTGGTCTCAAGATTTCCAAATATTGCAGAAGAGTTGAAAAAGTGTTTACCAGAGGAAGTTAATTTGATTGTCGTTCCTATTTCAGGTAAACTAAATCTAAGTTAATATTTCCTATTATTTTTCTTTACAAAATTTCAATTAATTTAACACCTATTTTGTACAAAAGTAAAATTGTATGCTTAGTTTAACTTCATTCCTTTTTGTTGTAGACCCAAACAAAACTACAAATTTATGTAGAACACCAGAGAAACAAATAAATTTGTAAATTATTTTTTCATTTATTAAGAAAATAATATACTTATAAACAAGTACATAACAATGATAAATATATTTATAAACTAGAAACATTTATGAAATATTTTAAATAATTTTCACCCTTTTTTATTACATTAAAATTAATAGGATTACCCTTTATTCTTGAGTATTACCCTTTTTAATACTTAGAATATACCTAAATGTATAAGTTTTCGCTAGATTGAAATTTTTTAGGGATTTTAAATATTTTTATTACTTAATCAATATCAAAATATGAAATCTTTTTGTTAATATTGTTCATCGAAATAGTGTTAGGTTTGTTTTTTTATACAGTAACATTTTTAAATATCCAAGTGTTTAAACATATATTTTCAAACTTATTATGGCATATATTATTTATTAAACAAAAAATTAATATTTTTAATTTTAACGTGTTTAATTAGGAGAAATAAGTAACGTATCTCACTGTTACTATTTCTTATTTTCAGTTTAATTAAGGTACTTTTTGAAACAATAATGAAAAACAATGATAATCAAAATTTTTATATTACTCTTTGTTTCTTTTTTTTCTTTCTTTCTTTTTTTTAAAAAAAAGACAGAAATATGCGTCATTTGTTTTATAGTTTTCTTTAAAAGATTTAAGCGAAGACTTGAAATGAAATTTGGATGGCATAGCATTTTAAATTTAAAGTGATGACTAAAATTATCAATAGTATTTAGAACAAGCTTAATCACCTTTTTTTTAGTTAATCACAATTTTACAAGAGATCCTAAATTTAATAAACAATAAAAAAATAGTGTTTAAAGCAGAAAATAAAATTCATGGAATAAATTTTAATTATTTTATACCGTTCATTTGACTGAAATTTATTTGTAAATTAGCTTTTTGTTAAACAGTTTAGGTATTTGTTAATTAATCATTTTTAGAGAGCAATAATAGCTTAAATAAATTAAATAAAAAATTTATTAATTAAGTTTCTAATTAACATTTCTTAACAAACAATATATACACATTTTAGTAAATGAATAAAATAAAACGAAATAATAATTCCAAATTAAATAAATACTATTTCAAATATAAGAACGAAATTTTTAATGAATGAACAATAAATAAAATAAAGGCATTATTTGAAAAGAAAATTTTTTTTATTTTAATTTGATTTCTACGAACTGGGTTCAAAGATGTGACTTAAAATGTATTAATTAAGTTAGTGATGTTTATTAGTTAAATTACAAAATCAGACACAACCACCAGGGCTACCAAATATGACACTTTTCGCAAAAAAATTTACAGATAGGTTGAAAAATAAAAAATAACATTTTAAGAATTTACTATATTCTCGCCAACATTTTGAAACCTTCATCTCCAGAGAGTTGGAACAAAGTTCTGTTTCATATGCAATTGTGATTCCTTAATATATTGTGGTGTGAAAATTTACTTTAAGTCAAATATACAAAAATCGTATACAAGAATCGTACATTAAAACATAAGTTTAGATATCATCTAGAAGAAATTTTACTAAAAAGCGTTGAAAGGTGGCACACCTGCAGCTTTCTCATGCCAAGTCTTATAAAATATTGAGAAAATTATCAAAAATTCTGAAAACGTTAGTTTTTAGTTGTCTATTCCCCTGGAATTTTTTTTTAAAAAGCGTAGTAGTGGCAGTCCTGTTTATAGATAACATATTAAAGTAATTTAGACCAAAAAGTAATATTTGTAAAATGGTTAATAAGTTTAAACAACGATCCAAATAAGTTTATCTTAAAATGTAACGAAACTAACATTATAATAAAGAAAGAAATCTTTTTTAAAACTCTTAACTTAGAAAACAATCGAAATCAAAAACGTAATAATAACAGAGTAAATTAAGAAAAATAAATTTTGCCGGTACTTTTTATTATTTTGAGTTTGGGATCTAAAATTTTAACAAGGAAACAATACTCTTATAACTTTTATTAATTTATGCTGTTAACAAACAAAAAAAAATTAGGAAATTTATTTCAATAAGAAAGATAGACAATGGAAAACTGCAACACCACTATTAGAGTTTTAAATATAGTTTTTTTATTTTATAACAGTTGTTAAACAGCCATTTTGAATCCAATCTGGAAGACAAGGGAACTCTGCCATCGTGGAGGACTTTTTGATGGAGATAATCTTCATTTGCGTTACATGGAGAGGAAAACCTCGAAAACCTCCTGCGGTTAGCCTGGTGGCAAGGGGACGCTAATCCATGATCCGTCTATCACTGAGTATATTTTACGTCAGCACTGTGATCGGTCTGAGCCGGGTGCGAAATTCGTAACTACCAGCCATCGCTGGGATGCGAACCCGGTTCTATCTCCTGAGTCACTACGGCTCTTATATATAGTTAGAAATGTAGGCACTTTTCCATTTGACTAGTATAGACAATATAGCCAAAAATTAAAGTGATATTAAATCCCTTAAAATTTCCATGGGCTATATTTTCCACCACTTTTTAAATTTTTCAAGGTTGTTGTCAACCTGATACATATGTATAAATAAAAAATGAGTTAAGAGGACTTTTCCTTCACCATCTTAAATTTTTGACTTAGTGTTTTCTTTTTTCTCTTCTTTTTCCTTTTCTTACTTCGGACATTTATGGTAATAAGATGTCATTCGCCAACATATCTTCATGTAAAGATTAAAAACAAAACTTTCAGATTAAGAGAAATACTGCTTGTAATTAAAAAAAAATCTATATAGATTCTTTTCATATAGACTTTTCTCAAAAATCTAAAACTGTAAAATAAAGAGACTTGAGTTTTGAAAAAGATTGCATAAAACTACTATTTATCTATCTTTAGAATTTTAAAATTTAATTTCATTGCAGTTTAAAATAATTAAAAAATGATTCGAATCAATTTTAAAAAATATTTATGAAAAATCAAAAAAATAGACGTACGCATAGTACTAAACTGTCTTTCAAGAAACGCTACTTCTAGAAATTACATTAGTATAATTTTATTGAGAAAAAAATTAGAGAATCTTAAGTACAATTCGCCTTATATGTGATATTTTAATTTTATGGCAGCACAGCATCTTTCGAAAGATGCCAAAGAGAATAAATATTCACAGTCAGCTTATTTATAACTTTTTTTAAGCGTTTTAAAGCATATTCAAAATTTTCTCTCTTCATACTCTTTCGACAATTAAGTTTGATAAAAAAAGAAAAAAGTCCTCATAATTATTTAGATAAAAATAACATTTGAAAATCAGCTTCAAAACCATGCTTTGTCAGAACCACACATCCTTCAAAATTTTCTATTGTTAAAAACAGAATCGTGGTGGCTCAGGAGATAGATCACTTGCCTCCCAATGAGGTGACCCGGATTCGAGTCTCAGTAATCGCTGGTCGATATGAATTCCGCACCCAGCTCGCACCGCTGACGTAAAAATATTCTGAGTGGTAGACGGATCAAGGGCTTGAATCCCTTTGTCGTTAGGCTCACCGTGGGAGGTTTTCGTAGTTTTCATCTCCATGTAACTCAAATGCGGGTTACTTCCTTCAATAAGTTCTCCATGGTGGCAAATTTTTTTCTCAATGCTTGATCCAGGAGTTCCTTTGTCCTTTGTATTGGGTACGAAATGACAAGGCTACGGAGTTGAACATTGACTGTCGTGAACTCAAAATTGAGTCCCAGCTCAACAACGGTTATTTAAAAAAAATAATGTTAAAAAAAATATGAGTTTTGAATTAAAAAGGGAAATTAAGAGGAAAATAGTATTAATTCGTTGAAGGGAAAATAATAAAACGCCTATTTAATTATTGATAATTATTTTTGGTAATAGTTGCAGTTTGAAGTAGAAAATAAGCCATTTATAAAAATGGAAAACTGATCAGAAAATGGTACTCATTCGTTTAAGAGAACATTAAAAATTGGTAAATTAATATTGATGTTAATCATGCTTAAATTAATTTAGGTAATCTGAAATTTAAAAAAAAATGTGCTATGTACTAAAAAGCTAAATTGATGGCGAAAATGTACATATTCGTTACGGGATACCGTAAAAAGTTTTCATAACATTATTGACACCAATACTGCGCGTACAGGAGAAAGTAGCTTGACTATGGTAAATTTTCAATATCATTGAGACATCTCGAGAAATAACATCATGCCAGATAATACTAAAAATTCAGTTAGCTTTTATTTTGCTAAAAATATGTTTTTATTAATCTAATAACGTGAATCCGTCGAGAAGTGCAGCTACTAATCTTTATATATAATAAAATAAAGAATTTCTGTATTTGTCCGCATGACTGTGTGTACACCGGATTGTGGGTATACCGTAAGCTCTAAGCATGCCTGATTCAAAGTGAATCTAAATCAGTAAAATTGCAAACAACTTAAGAAGTCCGATTTTTAATTTTTTTAAATTATATTTTAATTTCAGAGACATTTAAAGAATGGAATTTTCTCATTCGCTTTTATTTGAAGTTCTAGAATGGTAATAAATTTTATGACTTAATTTTTTAACCATTTTGTCTACCATTACATACAAACAACCTAAACACATATATAAAACCTAACACACATATATATAAGCAAATTTACTAAAAATTGTTACTCCACTACCGCTTTAAATATTCTTGAACTTCCGGTTTGTCAGCTATGACTATGTAATATTTTGCACCTACATTACTATATTGGGTACCTATTAAAAGAGAGACCATTATACCATTATTTTCTTCATTAATTTTGCTTTTTAAACCGTATTGTTTTTTTTTCAGTTAGTATCGTTACCAAAATTAGTTAAACATCATGGTAATTTGAAATAGAGCTATAACTACCAAATATTATGGATGTTATATTAAAAACATTTCAAAAACAGAAATGCCTAAAGTTTGATTCATGTCTCTTGTTTCTGCTAAATCAATGTCAAAATTTAATTTTTTATTATTTGGACGGTTATTTATTTCAATTAGCTGTTTGGAGAATTTTTAATAACTATTTGGATGTTGTTTCAGATCAATCTAAGCGATGGGATGTGGAAATCATACTGACGGATGAGGAACTGAACTTCATCAAAGATGCCGAAACTCTTGTAATGGACAGCATGTATTTGTCGCCGTTACTCTACAAATTGCCCAAAGCTAAGTGGGTGCAGACCACGTGGGCAGGTAACTTTCATCTTCTGATTCGTTTTTTTTTTTTTTTAGTGAAATATTAGGGTATGAGATACGAAGTAAACTGTACTAGGGTGTATAACGAGGAAGTGAGTGTGATTGAAGACGTATGTATGCTATACGAGGTATAAGGCTTGTTAAGAAAAAAAATTGATTTTTTTTTTACTTCTTCTGTTCCTTGAGTTGTCTTTCAATGACGGACATAGCTCTGTGTGTAACATAAAAAGCTTAAATTAATCTTTTTATGTTAGTTCTTTTCTGAATATCCTTTTCTTTGCTTTTATTTATCTAATCGAAACACTTTCTCACACTTTTAAATTCACATCCTGTCCTTAAATCTATTTTTGGCTTAAGTATGCATTTAATTAAAAGCAGGACATTTTCCCCTTTGCTCTCTGTGGGAAACGCTTGACCTATTTGATAAACCAATTACATTCACTGTTACTGTGGCATTCAACGTGTTAAAGATGAGTACAAGGTATTTGGCTTTATCAACTATTGGTATTCAAGTAAAAAACTTTTTGCAAAACAGCTTATGCAGCGAATGATTTTTGTTTTTTGAGTGGTACACAATTAAAAATTTCAGAATTTTCAGTGATCTTGTCTGTTTTTTAAAAGTCTAAACACGAGAGAGCTGGAACAAGGTGACGTTTCATTTGAATAATTTTCATGCAGTGGTGTAGACAATAGCTATCAAGCAACGAATCATACATTAGTACTGAACAAAAAATAAACAAATAAATCATACATTATAGAACAATGAATGCATTAAACTTAGCTACTACTAGAAGAAATTTTCCTCAATAGTATCAAAAGTTGGCAGCCCTGATATAGGGTATAAAGAGAAAGATATTGTTCAGAAAATCTAAGGATATATATCTTAGTTGGGAATATATTATTTAATTGCATAAAAACAATAGCTTCGATTCGTAGTTATCTTAAATCTGTTGAAAAAAAGAATATCCTGCAACAACAGCAACAAAAACAAAAAACGCTTTCTCCAGTTATTCCAGTGCAGATGAGGCGACTAAAATAAAAAATGTTGAAGAAATTGATTTGCTCATTCTTCAGTTTGATTAGTTAGAAATTACAAATATATACTAATATTTCCACAATGCTGTCTGTTTAAAACAAAATCTGTAAAGCGATGGTATTAATAATCAATACAATTGATAGTGAGATGGAAAAAAGGAAAGCTGGTCGCATGACCATTTCAACTTTGCATGGATTGCTCTCCGTGCTATCCGATCTCTGTTCGACTCGATGCCCAGGAGAATAACTGCTGTTTTTGCTGACAGGGGAGGCTGCTTTGAGTACTGATTTCTCAGGATACAAATATCCTTAAAATTTAATCACCTGTTCTTTCAACTATAATGTATGTGCCAAATAAATATCTTTATGTTATTTGCATTCCTTCCTGGTGTAGAAATTTAAATGGCCAGTAGTGTATATGCAATAATTCTAAAAAATATTCTATTCTTCTCGAAAATATCCTGGAATGAAATGTCTTGATACATATATAGGCTTTCAGACCTGATAATCAATCGAAAAAAATCTGTTAGAATATTTCGCTAAATTTAATTCATTTTATTGCTTTTTATTGTTCCCTACATTATCAGGTGTACAGTGTGCAAAATAAAAACCGGACCATCCTCAATAACTTTTGATCTGATGGTCGGATCTTCACGTTCTAGGACTCAATCTCAGTGGTTTGAGGGGATGACCTCAAATAAACAAATTAGTTACTGCAGACGATACTTTAAATTATGAAATCACAGACACAAAAACGTACTTTCTCTGAATATAGCTTCTTTTCGACGGATTCGGATTTCTGACTCCCAAAATATAGGAGGTAGTCACAATCTCGAAAATATGATATAGGTAGTTTGGTCAGGAAAACGATCCAAAGTTCGAACCCCTTAATGTTAATTATATTTTTCTGCGTATTTCGCTATATCTCAAGAGCATTTTAAGCGAACTAAATTTCTTTTTTCACACAACTATAAAATTCATTTATCCAAAGGTAATTACATGCAAAATAACAGCTTTAGTAAATATTTTTCATTATTTTATTTAATAATAGCCAAAAAAATTCTGACAAAAATTTTTTTTACATCATTTTAAAGTATGTAATTTTAAATGACAAAATAAAATTTTTGAGCAAAATCGGTTGAATAGTTCCTGAGAAATTGAATTTTTAAAATTCGATTTTTCAGGAACTATTTCCCCGATTTCGTTCAAATTTCGAATTTCACCATTAAAAATTATATTGTTTAAAATGATGTAAAAATTTGTACTCCTTACAATTCAAATTTTTTTGTACTGTTATTAAATAAGATAAAAAATAATAATAAATATACTAAAAATAACATTTTGCATGGAACTATCTTTGGATGAACGAATTTTATTATTGGGTGCACAATTTTATCAATTGGCTTTAATGGTTCTTGAAATGTGGCGAAATATGCAAAAAAATAAAATTAAGGGGTCCGAACTTTGGATCACTCTCCGGATGGAACTATTGGGACCCTATTTTCCAGATAGAGGCTACCCCCTATATTTTGGGGGTCAGAAATCTTAATCCGTCAAAAAAAGGTATGTTTATTCAGAGAAAATACGTTTTTGTGTCTGATTTCGTAACTTAAAATATCGTTTCTATTATTTAATAAGCATAAGTGAGGTCACCTCCATAAATCATTAAGATTGAGTACTAGAACGTAAAAATCCGATCATAAGATCAAAAGTTATTCATAGTTTTCGACTTTACGTACTGTTACGTTTCTTCATTGTCAGCGTTTAAAAACAAAAAGCAGCGAAGTTCAGTTGTTAAACAATGAAAGATATAATTTTGTGCTGAGTTCATTCTATTAAATACGTATTTTCAGTTTTGTCGATTTTTTAATTTAAAACAGATTTTTCATATTCAACTCCCATTTAAAGATTCTTTGAACACATATTTCAAATTATGTACCAATGTTATATTGAATAAATTACCACGTAATCTTAAGCACTAATTTTAATATGCATCCCTTTTTTAATAAGCCAAAAAGTTGTATTTATTAGGCAAAATTACATTAATACGCAAAAATATATTATTTTAAAGTTATGTTCTTTATCTTAAACACTAGTTTTAAGACGCGTCCATTTTTTTAAACACACTTTGCCCATTTCCTTAAATATTTATCATAAGCTACGTCTATACTTTTTTGAAATGTATATTTCAAGCGATGTCCTTTTTTCTTAAATACGCATTTTGTGTTATATTTAAAATAAAACGTTTACCAGCCACGTATAATTTAACGATTTTCTTTTTCTTTTCAGGTGTTGAAATGTTAATGCAAAATGTTGATAAGACAAAGGTAAGGCTTTCAAACTTTATAATTTTTTGTACTTGTTTATAGGCTGAACCGGAGCAAGATCAAGTTTTGATAAAGTAATTGGATTTTTCAAGCACTTTTTTATGATTGCAAAGATAGACTTTAAGTATGCAAAAGGAAGAGAATCGATAAAAAAAAGGCACAAAAATGCACTTTTTACGAAAAAATATACCATTTATTTAACTTTTTCATCCGAAAAATACGAGCAGTCGACCGTATGTAAAATGCTCCCAATAGTTTAGGAGAGCGATTAAAAATTTGAATTTATTTTTTGAACATTTCGCTTTATTTCTGCATTTATTAAAGATACTCAAAAGGCTTTTGCACACAATTTTTAAACTCGGTTTGATAAAAATAACTCCACAAAGAAAACTAATTTTGTTGCTCTTATTATTTTTTGATAATTTTCTTTTAATTTTAATTATTGTCAAAGAAAAAAATAGTTTGAATATTAAGATACGCAAATGTTAACAATCTCATGCTTTTAAATGACAAAATACTAAATTTGATTGAAATCTGTCAAATAATTCTCAAAGGTTAAATTTTAAAAATACAACGATCTTTAGGCTTTTTTTACTATTTTCCCACGGTTTTGCCGATAGAGAGGAGACCAACTTTATACGCTTTTTGTAAAAATTTATTCCAGTGGTAGCAATGTTTTAAAACATTATTTTTTTAAAATTCAGTTAACCTTATTTTCCACACCACTACTTATAAATGATTTAAAAACTCATATACAACCCAACAAGTTTGCAGCTCACTCGTGTTGTCTTTCAAAATGTTTGCAAATTACCAAAAATTCTGAATGCTTTGGTTTTTAAAAGTCTATCACCCCATAAAATATTTTGCTAGTAGATGGCAGGCCTGCTTTTGGTCGTACTAAAAGAGGTACGTCTATAAATAAAGTTTTTCTTCGAATAAGGCTTAACATTGTAGTTACAATCAATGTAAAACGTGGTAGACAAAAAAAATATATTTGCACAGCTGATAACTTGTGCTTTCAGTTGAGAAAAATTTTATAAGCGCCGGGATAGCTTGGTTGGTAGGACGTTGGACTCGTGTTCGTGAGAACGTGAGTTCGAATCCAGTCGGCCGAAGAATCCCAGTGTATTAAATGGTGACTGGTGCACATTAAACCTTTCGGGTCACAAAATCCTCCATCTTCCCAAAACAAATCAATAATCCTGGGGGTATTGAACTGGATATTGATTGTTCTCTGGTTCAAGTCAAAATTACGGTCTGCAGATGAATAAATAGAGTATGAATGGGATCTTCCTATAAAACGGGCTGTGACGTGTGTGTGTAACTGAAGTCGTATTCTTTGCCATAAAGGGTGCCACTGAAAAAACAAGAAACGCACCCTCTGCTTTAAAAAGTTGTTTGATTTTAAGCAGGCTTCCTCATATTGGCAAGTTGGGCAAATAGACCAGCGATGGCTTTTAGGGGATAGAGCGTTCATCTTCCAATGAGGTGAACCGGGTTCGAATCCCAGCGATTGAGGATCGATATGAATTCCGCATTCGGCTTGCACCGACCACAGTGCTGACATGAAATATCCTCAGTGACCATGGGTTAGAATCCTCTTGCAATCAGACTAACCGTTAAGGTTCTCATGATCTTCCTCTTCATGTAACGCAAATGTGGGTTAGTTCCACCAAAAAGTGCCCTACGAAAGCAATTTTTTTAATACTTGTTTCTTAAGTTCCCTTGTCTTCTGGACTGGGTTCAAAATTACAAGGCTACGGAGTGAACCGGTTGTTCAACGATGATTATAAAATAAAAGTAGCACAAGTAACAACAACAACAGATTTTGTAAAGTGGTAGTAAAACAATAATTGAAGCTTCTTCATTGAAGCCTAAATCAGTGATTGTACGTGTGCTAATTCCTCTAACTTGAATGTTATTTCAAACTTGAATGTTGTTATATAGATTATAATGTCGATGCCCTTAGTTTCGGTGTTTTTCTTCTGAAATTTCAACTGTTTGTGTTTTTTCTACGAAGCACGAAAACATTCTCTACCAACTGTAGTTAAACAAAATAAACTAAGAAAAACTGAATACATACAAAACTAAGAAAAACGGAAAGAAAAATATTTAAAAACTTTGTTTTTTCAAGTGGACTAAAAAAAGGAAATATTTCATTTTTCGTCACAACCCTTTCTAGAAACAAGTAAAAGGGTTATTTCCTGTCATAAAAGAAGCTTTTTTATGAAGAAGCTTGTTATGAGGGTAATTGTTAGTCTTATTTTGGTGGTTAGTGGAGGTAGTATCATGGTAGTATTGTAATAACAGTTTCAGATAAATTCTAATTTTGTTATGACAAAAGAATATTTATCCCAGAAAAATAAATAAAATCGTGTAGGAAAAATTGATTGAATTTTTTATGTAAATCTTACTTAATGACTATGACCACTTTCCAAAATTATAAAACCCCTTAAAGGAATGAAAAGAATCATTCTTTTTGTTCTCTCATCAACAAGGAAAAAAAAAATAGTGCGTGGAGTTCCTCCGCGCGGAAGAAGTTAAACTTCGCAACCTGCGACGTTAATTGTAGAAGAATCAGCAGTCGTAGAAGGATCACTAGTTCTATTCAACGACTCTTTTTCCTTATCCGCTCGCTTCCGTGCTCTGTAATCACGGTAATATTGTGCATTTATCCCTCGTGGTCCTCTTGAACCAGTGCTTGTGGTTGCCTCATCGTCTCGCCCTGGAAAATGTATTTGTATTAATAATGTATGTGAATGCGTCATAATGTAATTTCAAAAGAGAAAACCTAACAATCAATTGATATTCACAAGAGACGTACCTTGACATAACCTTAAATCCGTCGCATTGTCCGTGGGATTGTTTTCACTCATTTTTTACAATTGTTATCCACTAAATTTGAAAATAAAAAATACTATCCTATTAAATTATATGNGAGAGGAGACCAACTTTATACGCTTTTTGTAAAAATTTATTCCAGTGGTAGCAATGTTTTAAAACATTATTTTTTTAAAATTCAGTTAACCTTATTTTCCACACCACTACTTATAAATGATTTAAAAACTCATATACAACCCAACAAGTTTGCAGCTCACTCGTGTTGTCTTTCAAAATGTTTGCAAATTACCAAAAATTCTGAATGCTTTGGTTTTTAAAAGTCTATCACCCCATAAAATATTTTGCTAGTAGATGGCAGGCCTGCTTTTGGTCGTACTAAAAGAGGTACGTCCACAAATAAAGTTTTTCTTCGAATAAGGCTTAACATTGTAGTTACAATCAATGTAAAACGTGGTAGACAAAAAAAGTATATTTTTATAGCTTGTGCTTTCAGTTGAGAAAATTTTTATAATCGCCGGGATAGCTTGGTAGGTAGGACGTTGGATTCATGTTCGTGAGAACGTGAGTTCGAATCCAGTCGGCCGAAGAATCCCAGTGTAATAAATGGTGACTGGTGCACATTAAACCTTTAGGGTCACAAAATCCTCCATCTTCCCAACAAAAAAAAAATCAATAATCCTGGGGGTACTGAATTGGATATTGATTGTTCTCTGGTTCAAGTCAAAATTACGGTCTGCCGATGAATAAATAGAGTTGAATAAATAGAGATTTATTTCCATTCATAACAGAAAATAATTGCTCTCACTGATAAGTACTTCCAAACTTGGAATAATTTCATACGCGAATTTTCGAGTATTTTCAAACCTTGCTGGTAAATATTCGTGAAATTTAGGCACACCCACTTCAATGAATTTTGCCTTCAAATTTGAGTTGCACTGAATCTCAATCACTTCCATTTGCATGGTACTGAGTCTATATTTATTGAGAAAATCGCAAAAAAACAAACAAAATTTGTCTTCCAAAGAATTAAAATCTTTAAACCTTGTTTCCAATTCTGTTCTAAGATTTGAAATTTTTTTCTGCGTATTTTTGATATGATGCTGTATCATCTAAACTAGATTTGTTCTTGTTGCACGCTGGGAAGTGCGTTAAATCTTCATTTCCTCTCCCAAAGAAATAGTTTACATTTGAATGCTTTTTTAATTATGTCAAACATGTTCGTAATGATCTGATCCTTGACTTGTAACACTAAATTTAAATAAGATAAGTGTTTGGTTACATCAACCATAAAAGATAAATCTTGCAACCATATTTGATCGGAGAACAAGAATGTAAGTTTGTAAAAACTTAATAATGACGAAAAATATGTAAGTTTGTGAAAACTTAATAATGACGAAAAATATGTAAGTTTGTAAAAACTTACATATTTTTTCCTTCAAATCCCAGAATTGATTGAGAACTTTGGAGCAAGATAACCAACTTACCTCGCTATAATAGGATAAACCTGATTATGTACTATCTAATTGATAGCTTAGTGTGAAACGGACTCCATTTCAGCCAATTCGAATTTTACATTTTCGAGTGGACAATTTAAAATGATCCGTATAGTTTATAAATAAAGTATATTATAATTTTATATGCTGGTTTCGTTTCTAATTCACATTTCTATTTTATTTTTACTTTGCTTCGGATATATTGACTAGGCCCCAAAAATGTTCATCTCGGGCCGCATGCGGCCAGCGGGCCGCGAGTTTGACACCCCTGCACTAACTTGAAGGTTGTTTCAAACTTGAATGTTGTTATATAGATTATTAAGTCGATGCCTTTAGTTTCTGTGTTTTTCTTCGGAAATTTTTAACTGTTTGTGTTTTTTCGACGTATTGGGGAAGCACGAAAACAATTTCTACCAGCTTTAGGTAAACAAAATAAACTAAGAAAAATTGAATACATACAAAACTAAGAAAAACGGAAAGAAAAATATTTAAAAACTTTGTTTTTCAAGTGGACTAAAAAAAAGGAAATATTTAATTTTTTGTCACAACCCTTTCTAGAAACGAGTAAAAGGGTTATTTCCTGTTATGAAAGAAGCTTTTTAATGAAGAAGCTTGTTATGAGGGTAATTGTTAGTCTTATTTTGGAGGTAGTATCATGGTAGTATTGTAATGACCGTTTCAGATAAATTCTAATTTTGTTATGACGGAAGGATATTTATTCCAGAAAAATAAATAAAATCGTGTAGGAAAAATTGATTTTTTTTTTTTATGTAAATCTTATTACAATGAATATGACCACTTTCCAAAATTATAAAACCCCTTAAAGGGATAAAAAGAATCATTCTTTTTGTTCTCTCATCAACAGGGGGGAAAAAAAAGAAACGTTAATTACCAGTTGGGCTGATGGCCTAAGTTACCAGCCCTTACGCCAAAGTAAGTCAAGGGAAGAGATCCATGGTTGGCGATTTATCCAAAGATAAAATAACCAAAAACAAAGTCACCTCCCCCTTCGTAATCAATATTAAATTTGAAAATAATTTGGCCATGGGCTAATCGCCCAAAGACTGTATAGCCATGTAACTGAAATATTATTATGGTAAGAAATAAAGAGTTATAAATAGATTTTGTTTTCAATTGAGTCGCGATAGAGAATTAATGGGTTTTACACTTTCATTGAAATAAAAATTTAGTCGTCACATTGATTGTTAAGGAAAGAATAAAATATTTATGTTAGCTTTTTATAAAATGTAATAAAAATGAAATAATTGTTTAATTTAATTAAAATTCGATAAGGAAAGAATTCTAAAAAATAAATTTAAGAAATTAAATAAATTTTAAAAGCTAGGAAATATATATGTAATGCCTATTATGGCATCACACTTGTTGTGAAAGAAGCTTTACTTTTAAAGTATGTCACAGGGGGAAAAAGATATTTTGCCAGTCTATTAAGAAATGTTTAAAATTTTCAATTTATTTTATTATTATTTTCATAAGAAAAATATTATTTTTTCCTTTTTAGTCTGTGTAGAATACCAGTTTTTAAACCTTTTAAATGGTTTTATAATTATTTTAAATATCTCATGTTTTAGCCCTCGCCGAACTTTACACTGACCAGGTATGTGGATCCTTATTTCGGAGAGCTCATGTCGAATTATGTCATAGCGCAGATAATAAACATTGAAAGAGATCTCTACGCCCTACACGACAAACAGAAAAGTTCGGAATGGTAAGAATGGTCCTTCTTTGTTGATTCAACTTTATGCATACATTCACTGTATTACATATATTTACTCAAAACCAAAGAAACCTCTGCAACATCATAAAAACATTCTAACATTTGTCTGCAGAGCGTGTGTTAAAATATTTGCATTTAAAATCTTGCACTTTGTTGGTTCGAAAGTTTTAAAAGGCAAGTTTTAAATAGCAAGATTATCTAATACTACAATCCATGAAGAATTTGCTCATCAGTGTGCTTTTTTATTCTAGGCACAGGCTAAAAAAATGTACAAAACTTAAACTGCGTGTTTAAGGAAAAGTACACAGCAAAAAATGCTCCTGTCTATTGTACAGTCCAAATTTAACAACCAAACAAGGAATTTTGAGCCTACCATTCCATTTTTTTTAAATACTAAGCCTAATTATGAATGGGCAAAGTTCCAGGTTTCGGGATCGAGGTGGTTGCATTTATTAAAGTAGCTTTTCGCTCGATCTCAGCGTATTCAGAACACTAGGCGATAAAATAGACAGTATGACGTCAAGGAAAGGTGACACGGAGAAAGTTCTTGTTTAAAATCCCAGCCCCAGATGCGTCTTGGAATTCCTGGAGTAAATGATTCCTCATTTCAGGTTTCCACTTTGACGTGTCTTGCACTACTTCAACCAAGCAGGGCTGTTGTTTGAGGTACCTATGTTAGTATGCGCTGAATATAAATCTCCAGAAACATTTATATTTGTTTTAGTAACGAATTACTTATTTATTTCAAAAACAAGGTAAAATTGAGAATTCATGTTACGCGCCATTTTAAGAGAATTCCACATTTTATTCTGCAGGGCAAGACCAAATTTTCCTCATTCTCGAGTTATTAGTGATCTAAAAATTGGAATTCTGGGTTCTGGAAAACTGGGATCATCAGGTAATATTTTTTTTATTTCTTTATGTTATAGAATTATAATAATTTAGAATATATTTCAACTCTCATAAAATATTCACTGTGACAGCAGCGTTGTATTTAAAATTAAGAATGGATGACTCATTTGATGATAAAAACAAGGTCTTAGCTTTCACTCAATCTGCACAATGGGCTATTGGCGACGGTCTGCGAAATATCCCTGAAGATGATACGAAGATATGCCATCTCAATTTTGATCCTCTGAGTAGGGGATGGCTCCCCTGCTTAGGTAGCCCAACAAACTGCTTGGGAAGTCTAGCATTTTACCGTAGAACAGTTTAACAAGGAACGATGCCGCACACTCTCAGTCCCTTCGTAGCTTGATCAAAGAAGTCATCCACCCACACACAGACCGCAATCAGTGATACCTAATTTCGGTGCTCTACTGGGAATCGTGTCGTACGATGAGTCCACTGTGGGACCACTCAATTTTAAAAACAATCGAAACATTTTTAGAATTATTAATTTCATTAAATTATTAAAATGTCTCTCTGGAAAAAATTATGTATTTCAATTTGGAATTTAAGAAAATATCACATTTCTCGTTCCACTTTTTAATTTTCAATAAGACGCTGCGGCAATTCTATTTATTTAGCCCATAAACACTGACTACTTATTTTTTTCATTTCTAATGTTGTTAAAAGAGCTTGTATAAGAAGAGGGTAGTACAATAACATCTAAATCAAATGAATAACATATGAACTGTAATTTCTTAAATTAAGTAGAAGCAAACCTTGCATCAGCTTCTATTCAATTTTTGAGCTAATTACAATTTCAAGGCACAATTAATTAAAATATTTTGCACTTATTGCAAAATATTTTATAGAGTGGTGAATAATTTAAAAAAAATAGTGCGTGGGTCCCTCCGCGCGGAAGAAGTTAAACTTCGCAACCTGCGACGTTAATTGTAGAAGAATCAGCAGTTGTAGAAGGAGTTCTATTCAACGACTCTTTTTCCTGCTCCGCTCGCTTCCGTGCTCTGTAATCACGGTAATATTGTACATTTTTCCCTCTTGAACCAGTGGAAGTGCTTGTGGTTGCCTCATCGTCTCGCCCTGGAAAATGTATTTGTATTAATAATGTATGTGAATGCGTCATAATGTAATTTCAGAAGAGAAAACCTAACAATCAATTGATATTCACAAGAGACGTACCTTGACATAACCTTATAAATCCGTCGCCTAAATTTGAAAATAAAAAATACTACCCTATTAAATTATATGTGTATCAAAACAAACTAAAAAAAAAGTGCGTGGATTCCCTCCGCGCAGAAGAAGTTAAGCTTCGTAACCTGCGACGTTAATTGTAGAAGAATCAGCAGTCGTAGAAGGATCACTAGCTCTATTCAACGACTCTTTTTCCTGCTCCCTAATAAATTACATGTGTATCAAAACAAACTAAAAAAATTTTTATAGAAAAACAAAAGTTTTATAACTTTTATTATTGTACTTTCGTTATTTACGACTTTTATTATTTTATGTTAGTGAGAACCAAAACAATATGGAAATGAATAAGGGAAAACTGGATCCTACCACGTGATTTCCCGGCCAATAAAAATGTAGCTTTAAACGTTTGACGCTTCCTTTTCCCGGCCAATAAAAATGTAGCGTTAAACGTTTGACGCTTCCTTTTCCCGGCCAATAAAAATGTAGCGTTAAACGTTTAACGCAACCTTGTTGGAAGTCGCATAAGAAGTATAACTTCAAAAACTATAGTTCTCAGATTTTTCATTAAATGAGCCCAAATTTTTAAAAACTTAAAATGAGAGAGTTAAAAGTTTCATTTTCATTGTTTCGAGTTTCATTGATTTCGACCGATGAGGGTAGATTAAAGAGGTTATGCCTATGTATATAGAATCCTTCCTTACATTCTTCGGTTAAAATTCGATTTTAAGAACATGTTAAAAATCATAGAGATTATGATACGAACAATCTATCATCGCTCTAGTTGTACTTCTAATAGTAGTTTTGAGTTTTTTTATTCTGTTAAACTCATTCAGCACTGCTTTCCAGTCACAGACCTAGATTTCTGGGAATCATTTTATTGTTTTAAAAAATATTTTATTAATTTAGTTAATTACCTTTCAAGTATGCCATTCCAAATGCATGTATGTTTATTCCTTTTTATTTCCACCACTGTGGTTATCAAATTACCCCCATCATATCTTTTTCTGATCTCCTTTCAATTGTTTAAAAATATCGTTCAAGTTTGTTTCACCAATCTTATTGATCAACCCTTTTTTTTTCTTTGTTGTATCATATTTGTAATTTTTTTTCTTCGAATCTTTGTATTTTCTCTCTTTCATTTTATGTTTCTTCATTATAGAGCCTAAACTACAGTATGCTTGTTTAGGTGACTCTGTGCTCTTTTAAAGATGTTTCGCTTTATTTATATTTAGGGAACATTTTAGCACCTGAAAATCCTACCGCTAAAATAATTCACAGAGTGTCTGGTTTTCATTTATTTATTTTTGCGAACTTTACTAAATTTAAAAGTAAGAAACAATTTTTGAAAGAAATCCTGTCATAATATATGTTTAATTGTTTTTTTTGGGAGCTTAGTTGGAAGTTTATTAAGGAAGGCTGGAGCGTGGGTGTTTGCTTATGTTCGAAGCGTTCGCACAGAGAGCTCAGATGCGTATGATAAGTAAGCATTGTTAGAATGATTAATTTTGTAAAAATTTGAACTATTGATGTTACCGTGAATGACCGAAATCAAGCGAATGTCGACTTTCACCGGTGAATGTCAATAATCACATAGTCGCTTTGGTGAATGTCCGAAATATGTGTTATATCCCATTTGATATTAATATTTATTATATTTATTCGATATTTTAATATCTGCTGAAGATAGATTAGGAGAAACATCAGTGTTCGAAGTACCGGTTAAATACATACTAGGCAGTGGGACTTTACCTTAAAAAAACATTGATGTAGGGCATACCGGGCAGTGGCACTTAACTAGACCTAGTACATATTTCGGATATTTACCAAAGCGACTATGTGATTGTTAACATTCACCGGTGGAAGTCAACAACCACCCATTTCTGTCATTCACAGTAACACTGATAGATTGAAAAAAAAAATGACCTACCATGTTTTAAAAACAGGGCAACTACAAATTTGTTGGATCTCTTAGAATGTTGCGATTATTTAATCAATGTGTTACCAAGTACAGCGGAAACAAGAACTCTTCTGGACCCTGATGTGTTCCGAAATTGCAAAAAGGTATTATATAATCAATTTACTCAGGGTGTTCAGTAGTTACCACCCTCAATTTATATTTTTAGAATCATCGTCAATAATGAAATAAAAAAATGTACATGGATTGAATATAAGTCGAATACAATTATATAACAATGTTCGAGAAATATATTCATAAAACGATAATCGAGGGAAAAATTTTTGCATGCGATTGTTCGAAACGTTTAAATGAATTGAATACTTAAACAAAATCGTTTTAATTATTCGATTCTTATTTTATATTTCAATTATTTGACTTATGAATCCACAGAGACCATAGCATAGAAGGCAGCGCGCTGGACTCACCTTCGTGAGAACGGGAATTCGAATCCAGCCAGCCGAAGACTCCCTGTGTAGTAAAGGGTGACTGGTGCTCTGTAAACCTGTTGGGTCACAAAGTCCTCCATGTTCTCATAGCAAATTATACTTCTTGGGGTACTGAATTGTAGATTGATCGTTCTCTGGTTCGGGTCAAAGTTACGATCTGTGGATGAATAAATGGAAGTATGAATGGGTCAGTTCTATTAACGAGTGTGATGCATGGATGAGGTAGAAGTTAGAATTCTTGGCCATAGATGGCGCCACTGAAAACAAAAACTATCGCATCCCTTGACTTAATGGCTTACAACAACAACATGAATCCACTTATGATTATTAAGTTTTTAGATTCGATTCATCTACTTCAATTACTCGATTTAGAAATCCAAATTAGAAACCAGTTTAATCATTTAGTTTTCATTATAAGATTAGCATTCATTATTCCAATAATTTCAATTATTCGACGGTTATGACCCTTTTTAGAAGCATTTAAAAAATTTGATTCTATTGAAGATTTCGATTATTCGGCATAAGAATTAAATTTGTGATCATTTGAAGATTTCCATCATTATTTGACGCATGGATACACATTTGAAACCACCTGAAACATTTTTCTTTAATTCGAATCATTGCTCTTATGGAACCAAATGAGAAATCAGTGTAATAAATATTTTCAATTATCCGACTCATTTAAATGATTTGAGATGAGCAATAAGTCAAATTATATAAATAGTAAAATGATTTCAAGTGTAGACACGTGTCAAATAAGGAATTTAAAAATGGATAAGATAATTAAAATTATTTCAATATAAAAATGAATAAATTGAATGAATATATCTATAAAATAGATATTAATAAAATATCTTTTCAGAAACCTGTATTTATAAATATTGGTAGAGGGGATATCATCAAAGAAAACAACATCATCAGAGCTTTGGAGTGAGTATACTCTTTTGTTGTGTTTTCAACAATAATTTTTTTTTTGTTTAATGGCGGACACTTGGGGGTTGTCTCATTGGCCACAGGAATGCCAGATCTGCTACTCTCTTCTCGTTACCCAGTGGGCACCTGTGGCAAAGTCACGGCGGTGGAGCAGCGTCTCCCACGTCACACAACCACAAACACGTTTATAAGGCGGGTCACATTCACACACAAAGGAGAAAGGACATAGAACACAGAAAGAAAGAAACATCCATGCTCTGAGCAGGATTTGAACCCGCGACCAGTGGCTCCGCAGTCAGGCACTCTAACCACTCGGCCACCAGGTCGGCGTTTTCAACAATATACTAGTATTCATTTCAATACAAAGTGTTCTCTAAATATAGATTTTGCCATGAGTTTAAAAATTCTATGCCGAAAATTCTTTAATTATTTTTATAGAAGAAACGCAATACATAGTATATTACTTGAGTAAAAACTTCATTCGCACCAAAACCATTTATCGCTTTTGTGTCTTGGGTTGTTGTTGTTGTTATTGCACGCACCCATTGACCACAGTGCTAGACCAGGTCCATGACGTTATACACCCTCAAAAAATCCAACACCGTCAATAGATCATCTGCTAAATCCTGTTTGGTGAGCCCAAGGCACGCGAGGATGTGGTGAAGCGAAGCCTGGTCTAAAGAACAGTTGGTACAAATTTCAAAGTTCTTGGATCCTTCTGAAAATTTCATTGATTTAAGTGTCTTGGGTTTATTTATTTAATAACACATGTTGGTGTATAAACCTGCAGGTTGGAGGTTCTGTCATTCACCGTCCGTACTTACATCTTTTAAAAGTTGAATCTGTACACAATACGAACAGGAAACTCTTTGATGCAGACATAGGTCACGCAACTGCACATCATGCTGTATTCAACCAACTCATTAGGGAGTTTTCGCAAATTTACATCAGCTTCCATATCCTCCCGTACGTAAGATTTCAAGTAATTGCGCATGCGCACTTCTAGTACGCATGCGTCAGCTCTGTTGAAATGGACAAGCGCCCGTGAAAAAATATCAAACTTAAGAAAGAGAAAATAAGAAAATTTTCAAAAATTCATAAGTTGAAAACGCTGACAAACTAGATGGCACCACAAAATTAACTTAACCAGATTACAAGATTTAAACCTGACAAAGCACAAATCCGTCATTACTCATTTCTTCAATATCAAAACACAGAACTGTTTTAGGGTTCAAAGGCGACTAACATACCCGACCGCATGAAACACTCATCGCGCACCGATCGCCTTTACTTCCTAGACAAGCTGTCAAACACCGATCGTATACTGAATGGGCTCAAGCTATCAGATGATGGAGAATGATATATTAACATCAATGTAGATTTAAACTAAACAAATATACAATACTTTCTTAGGCTCATCGTGGTTTGGACATATAAAATTTAAAAATCAATAGGTGTAAAAAGGTAAGGAGTATTATGCTCTATTAGGAAATTCAGCTCAACCTTAAACTATAATATTTGAATAGTGCAGTAAAACCACAATGAAGTGTAACTTTGAATCTTACCTCCATTCGAAATGAGTTATAGTGTTAAGCAATTAAGTTTAAAAACACGATATTATGGTTCAATTTAGCAATATATTAGAGCATACTAGAATGATATTATGGTTCAACAAACACGCCCTAAAATTTTTAACAGTGTATTAATCCATACATAAATAAGTAATATATTCGATTTTGTTTTCTCATCAATTATAAACTTTATATTACATATTGAGGTCCGAATTCGAGTGGGTTAGGATTTAAAACTTTTAGGCTTGGGCATTAAAAGTGAGCATGAAGTCATCTTTATTCATAAAATAAATTGAATTTCCCTAGGCTGAGTGATTATTTTTAGCTGAAAAAGCAACACACTGCTGTGCGGATCAGCATCAGCAAACTCAGCGTTCGGGTGGGGTTGTTTATTCTTTCTCTTTTAAAATTTCGTTTTTGTTTCTTAACTCCTGTTAAATATCAACACTTCATTTCTAAAAAAAGAATGTATTTAATTTTTAACAGACAAGGATGGATTTCAAAAGCAGTTTTAGATGTCTTTCAAAAAGAACCATTGCCACCAGAAAGTCCTTTGTGGCAAAATCCAGGGGTAAGATCAATTTATTAATTTTTTTTTCAGACAATTTTGTTTATACACTTGTCAATGGAAAAAATTCGTTTTCAACAAATAAGATTGAGAAAGTCGACATGGAAGGAATGTGAGAGAACGTGACGGTTATGACTATCATCAAGAGTTTGAAAAATCATTATCCATAGCACATTATTTGTAGAACGTGGACAGTAATGCCTATTTTTTTTTATTTTTTATCCCTGTCATATCAGCTCTGTAATCTTGTTTAATCCATTCATGTCCAGGTTAAAGACACGAGATTCTCGCTAACCTTACAGTATACGGTTCACATTCGGCTTTTTGGGACGCCATCGTTCATCGCGGTTTTTCTTGTTTCTTTTTTCAACCTTAATTTACTTTTCTCGTTGAAAAATTTGCATTTTTAATTAAAATATCTATTTTGCTTTCCTCATTCACGAGTTGGTGGCTCTTGAAAATGGCTGTCTGTTTTGAGCAAGTATATTGACTTTTTTATCATAATTTTTGATGATAATGAAATTTTATCTCTGATGAGTATATCTTTCTACTTCAGTTTCTTAACATTATTCATTTTAGTGATTTTTATGAAAGAAATTGGCTTGTATGCAAACTGATTCAATTGGCTTATATGCAATTATAAAAGGTCCCGCAGTGGACTGATCTTTAAGACACGGTTCCCAGCAGATCACCACAGTCAAGCATCACTGGCTGCGGTCAGTGTGCGGGTGGGTGACCACTTGGATCAGTCTGCGTAGGGACCGAGGGTGTACGGTATGGGTCCTCGTTAAACTGTTTTACCGTAAAGTGCTCGACTTCACGTGCAGGTCGTCGGGCTACCGAAGCGGGGGTGCCATCCCCTCCGCAGAGGATCAAAATTGTGATGGCATGTCTTCGNGATAGCAGCAATCTGGGAAATATGGTCTCCATAGTTTGGTCAAATTGCGATTCAAAGTTTGGACCCCTTAATGTAAATTTTACTTTTTGCGTATTTCACCATATCTCGAGAAATTTTAAATAGAATTGAAAAATTTTGCATACAATTATAATATTCATGTAGCCAAAGGCAATTAATTCTAAGCAAAAAATTTTAACATTTTAAATTTTAACATTTTTTATTATTTTATTTAAATATTAGTCGAAAAAAATTACAAGGCATACAATTTTCTATATCAATTTAAAGAACATAATTTAACACAAAACTTGAGTGAAATTGGTGGAATAATTCCAGAGAAATCGAATTTTCAGAACACGACTTTTTTGAAATTTTACCATAATTTTAAAATGAAAATTCTATCAGTGTACAAAGAATCCACTACCGGGAATTTTTGATATATTTTTGCTTTTTTTGTTTTTTACTTATTATAAAAGGAGAAATTAATATAGATTTATCAAAAGAGAAAAACAGCTTTTTAATAAAAATAATTGCTATTCCTCACCTATTCCTCACCTATTTGAATACTAAAATATCAAAAAGTAGTTTGACTGCAATGCCTACAAGTTTAATATTAACTCTTGCTTATATTTTCAAAATTAATGTGTTCCATTAACAGAGAAGCAAAAAGCTAACTCAAAGGGAAAGTTTCGTATAAAGAAAAAAAATGTTTGATAAAAAACAGATGATACTTCGATCAATTATAAGACTGATAATATTTTTTCGCCAAAAAAGTTTTTCCTAAGTTTACTTGGAAAGAATCGAGAAGATACTCTTGTTTGTGTCACAATTCACGAAGATAGGCAGGTCCTCTAAAAAGTAATGATGGCTGACAATCATTCATTTCTTTCTTCTGCACTAGAAAAAAATGTAATGTTAACCTAACGTAAAATATTCCAAGGTTGCCGAAAATGTGATGATCTATAATGTGCAAAATGTTTAAGTGTGAGATAATTTTAGAAGCTCATTCACACAGATTTTAAATTAGTTTTAAGTTTTAAGACTAAACGTGAATTAATATTTTTCTTCTAAATAAAAGTTTTACCTATATATATATATATACATATATATATATATATATTTAGATACATATATATATATATATATATCTAAATTTCAGGTTATTGTCACACCTCATATTGGAGCTATTCCAAAAATGAATGGGGTAAGTACAATTCATTTAGAGACTCATAATAAATTCATAACAGTTACACCATATTCTGTTTAAGTGCTTTCAAATTAATTCACGCATTCCAGAAAGAAACAAATTGCCCCTCACAAAGAAGCTTTTATCTAGAAGTAGAGAAATAAAATTTGAATAGACATTTACTATTCGAAACATTTAACGATGAGTGTTAATTCTTGTATGTTTAAATTAGTTATAATAATCTTAAATCAAATGTTTTAAAACAAGAATAAAGTTTGAATGTGGCTACCACATGAATTGTAAAAATAAAATTTTTCGGAAAATCTGGAAAGGTTGGCAGATACGCTCACAATATTAAAAAAAGAATCCATTTTAGCATTTTCGAAATTTTGATTTGTTTGAAAGTTATTGCTATTTTGAGTGCTTTTGCGAGTATTTTTCATCACTTTTTTTTGCTTTACGTTATATTTTGCTTTGCTATCCAAAATCTATAAGACTTAGAAACTTGAAAGTGAAAATTTGTTGTGAAAAAAGTTGAGGAAGTACGACAGATAATAAAAATGATCGATGATCCAAACTGCTAAACTTGTAGAAAAAAATACCATGCTTAGTCAATCTGTAGCCCGCTGAAATGCAACTACGGAGTTAAAATGTGAAGTGCTGAAAAAGCCAATTTTTAATGTGAACTCAAAGCAAATTTTACTTAGAAATTCCAATGTGTTTGAAAGTTATTGCAAATGTGAAGTTCTTCTTCATGATTTCTTTTCAGCTTACTTGCTTTAAATATTGACTATTTATTCACTGCTGTAGGAAATTTATCCCCCCCCCACGAGGTTTTCATTCTGTAAACTTGCCCTCGAGTAGTTGTCAATCAAAAATAGCAAAAGAGAGAGATTACGTGTTAGCCAGATATAAATCTTAACATTTATAATGAATTTCGTTTTTTTGTAGAATTGCTCTTGTTGAATTGTTATAATTATATGTTATTGAATTGTCATGTTAATCGTTTCGTCATTGAGTAAAATTACTTCTCATTTATTTTTTCTTATTAAGTCAACATTCTGTGTTCTTCTGGATACACTTTATTTTTCAAGTTTAGATAATTGATCTACAACTCCAGGTAATCGTCCAAAGTTAGCGAAATGTTCTTACAAATAGCTAAAATAATTGCATATTTTGAAAACAAAATATTCGGTGTTTTTGTGGAAAATATCCACATTTAGGGGGGGGGCAATGATGAATGAGGAGCATTTACTGGGTTTGGCAAGCGAAACGAGCAGGAGGCGGAGCATTTTTGGAAAAAACAAAAAAATAAATTTGTTAAATGGACTTATTAAAATGCATTAATATTATTATTCTACTGCGTATTAGAATAATAAGCTTTTCCTTTTTTCTTTACAGATAGCAGAATTCATAGGTCAAAACTACCAACGTTATGTCCATGGCGAACCACTGGCTAATGTCGTGGAATGGATGAGAGGATATTAAATGGTTTCTCAAAACCAAAGTGTTCGTTATATTTAAGATGAATTCCATACAATAAAATTTTTTCACTGGTTTTTATTTCTTTTCTTTTTGCTAATAAAGAAACAAGGAACTTTATTTTCTCTCAAAAGATCCAGGTTATGTGTCCAAATAAAATTTGAAAAACTCAAAAGGCTAAATCAATTTCAGTTATAAAATGGGAATAAACCTGCAAGTGATGTAGTGCGGGTATCTCGAACCTGATCGGTTGTTAAAATATAGCTTTGTTTACGTTAGCAACTGTTCTTTCTATTCTATTTCGAGTTAACGTACCCTGACAAGTATCAATTCTTTTAAGTGATACATTCTATAATCCTACATAAAGATTCTTTCACAAATATTTCTTTCTTAACACAAAGACAGGTAGGAAACCATGTAAAATATAAACAAACTAATTATGTATCGAAGTTGCAAGGTTCACAAACAAATATATATCAGGATAACGATAAAATATTTAAACATATAATAAATCTAATATAGAATTATATTTAAACAAATTCAATGTATTTACGGCGTTGTATTTAATTAATTTCTCATTAATTAACATTCTAACTCACGTGTAAAAACTCCGCTCAACATTGACGTCATAGATCACGTCACATGTGTGGGTATGTTTGATCTTCTCCTCGAAGTACAAGTACTCAATTTTAAGATTTACTAACCCCTCATCTAGTTCCAGAATAAATTTTGATGAATAATCCACTGTTTAGGAGAGATGTTAAATAATTTACTTTCAGGAGAAAATTTTCTAACGCCTTCATCGTTGTTATACAACGAAGAGATTCATAAAATTGTTTTTCCCATGATTTCTAAGCAACTAATGTGCCGGAGAAAACATTTTCCCTAAGCACTACACGCTTTTCATTTGTAAGACAGATTAAAAAAAAAAAAAAATAGAAAAGTCATAAACATTTATTCTTCCACTATAAAAAAATAATACACTTTGTCAGGACCACAATAAGATCACAGGTTGAAATGCATTGCCATATTTAAAAGCAGTTTTTTCACTTCACAATATCAAATGCAAAACAAAATTCTTTCACAAGAAATCTAAAATCATTAAGAAAACACAAAATGAGTATATCGCAAACTTTTGTCTATCACATTTGTTCAGCAAACCAATAAAGGGAAAACCAGACCTCTCAACTCTTAATGCCCTAAGTTTAGAAAACATATTTTACTTACAAATAATGACGAATATTGTATTGACCTATCAACATGGATAGGAAAAATCCAGTAGAGCTTACAAAATAACATAAATTTCATGATAACTGTTGCATAATATACTAAATATTTTACATAGAGGGAATTTTAGGGATTTTTATTGTCATCAAAATACAGAAACTTTTTTACACACTAACTAAGCTTTTTAACTTTAATACTATAACTAATGATATCATAACACTCATAAATGGTCTGCAATATTTTCCATTTATGATTGGCATTAAATGAATTTGAAATATTTTTTTTATAATGTTAACTCCTAATCTCAAATAGTAGTAGACATGTAAATCATTACTGATATTTAAAAGATTTTATAATTTAAAAAGAAAGTTTGAATAAAAATAAACTGAAATTTTCAGAACAAAGGAAAAGAAAAGCTTTAAACTGATTATTATAAGTAAGGCTCGCTTCCTTATGTATTAGCAATACTTATTTAAATATTCAAACAAGTAAGAAATTGCGTAATAATTCTATTCCAAAAGGGATTTTTTTTTTCGAAAATTTACACAATTCTAAAATGTCCTAAACCAGGAGAATATTTATTATACCGGTAGACTAAGAGAAAATGGCAAAATCCAGTAGAGTTGGCAGCTATGTATAAATATATAATTTATAAAAATCATTGACACTTGCTAACATGATAAGGAGAAAATTTCAGTAGATTTTATGAAAAAAACATAAAATACACACAACTTATTTTGCTTTGGTTAAAAATGTTTCACATTTAGAGAACATGTATGGTGATCAAGTAGAAGAATTAAAAACATAAAAAATATGCTTATAGCTACAAATTTAAATTGATTGAAATGTTTTCTGTTCATGACTGAGAGTAAATAAAATTGAATATATTATTTCATGTCTGTTATATTCTTAAACTTATAATTTTGAAAGAAAATTATTATTAGAAAGAAAATTATTATTTTTTTCTTTATAAAACGAAAAGAAAATGGTTTAAAATTGTTGTCAGCACATTCTTATTAGACAGATAAAATGGTGCCCATAAGTTACAAAGAAGAAACCTTTGATGCCATCAACATAAAATTATTATAACAGCACTTACATGTGTGTAAATGATTTAGTTATCTCTTATTGAAGGGCAGTTATTATTCTGATTTATTTTATTGATAGAGGTATTTAAGATACATTAAAATGTTTTGAACCATAACACTAATTGTATGTGTATATCTTAATTTGTCATTTTAGCTATTTTTGTTATAAATGGAAAGTAAGAATCTGGACAATCCTTCTCCAAATTCAAAACTTAAAACTAGAAGCATTGTTCCTTTACATTAAGTTATTCAATAATATTACTTTATTATGCAAAATTTTTTAATAAACATATTGAATCACTACCTCACAATTAAAAGGTAAATAAGTTATATTTAGTTTTATAATACATTTTATGTATAAATGTGTACAGTAATTTATGCAGTTAAAATTACTATTACAAAATAATTGCAAGTATAAAAAAAGTAATTATTTAAAATTGCGAAGAAATACACGAAATTATTTTTTATAACATTATTGAAATAATGTCTTTGAAAAGCATAGCTAATTAATTAAACAATAAGTTGAATAAATAATTTTTTTCAGTAATTACCCCTATTTTATTTTAGAGAGTGGGAATACAAAATCCCATATAGTAATATAAAACTTATCTAAATACTTAAAAAACAAATTAGTTGAGTCAATCTATATTTAATGAGATTTTTCTTTCACTAATTATCCCAACTTCATTTAGGGAATAACCCAGTAACCAACCCAATTTCAGTTTAACGAGTCTTTCCTTTTGAACTCATAATGCTTAGATATATTCCTAAACAAGCATTACAAATATTTGGATCTCATGACCAAATAAAATAAAGATAGTAAATGATATTAATTAAATGTTATCAATTTTAAGTGAAAGAATTGGTGGAAGTAATTACTTAAATATGTGATTTGAAATTTTCATGCCATAATATCATGTTAAAAATATTGAATTATTTCAGCCAAATAGAAGGAGGTACAAATCAAATATACCACATTGATTTAATAGTTATTTTACACATCTGAATTTGTAAGGAAATCTGACTCAGCCATATTTAATTGGAAAATTAAAAAAAAAAACCCAAACATTTCTAGAGCGAACTATTTTTTAAATTCCCGTGATTTTGAAAATACTTTTTATATTATCAATTTTAAATTATATCTGAAGCCACTCCAAATCGCTAAGGAATTTCTTAATTTCAAAGTTATGTCTTGCTCTTGCAATTCTGAGTTTTTAAAAAAAAAACAATGTGCGTGATTGAGAGCGCATGCAGAAAAAAAAGAGGAGAGTTGCTTTTAGAGAAGGAATAAATATCTTATTAACGAGATTTTGCGAAAAATTGAAATTAGCGAAACTAGGCAAGAATTCCGATTGAGATTAAAGGCTATGGAAGATCACGGGCGTTTCCTTCGTCTCCGGTACACGGGGAAGACAATCTTTTGAAAACAATTCTGCAAAAAAAAAATAAATACTTATTTTTTAAAAATTCAGCTCAAAATTCTGCAAAATTTCAGAAGATAAAAAACCAAATTTTATTATTTCCCAAATGAAAAATCTTTCTGAAAGAATTCTATGAAGTTCCACAACAATGTCACAGGTATTCTGCACACAGGGGTGACATGCTATTCACTTAAGAGGGGGGAAAAACATTCAACACGATTTTTAAAAAAGTAAGTAAAATATTTTATAAAAGAAAATTTTTCCTACAGATGAAGCATATTTTCTTAAGTAATTCTGTTTTTTGTGTCAAAATCTAGCACTCCTGCATCACACTAAACAGCTATAGGCCAATGAAAGCTTTATGCTTGTGGTTCTCACTCCCATTCAAATAACCATAAACAGTGCAAGTATAAAAGCTTTACATATGCATTATGTTCCAAACTGCTGGACCAATAAAGAGTTGCTGATTATCAATAGGGGAGTAAGGCCCAAAAATTGCTAAAGTCAATGCATATATACAATCTGTCAATAAGTATTTGGACACCCATTATCAAGATAAAATAGTTATCTGGGGGTATTTCTCTTGGTGTGGACCTTTTCTTCAAATGACTGAGTGTGTCCTATATTGTAGCAGTTTTATAGGTTAAACCCATGCTACTTCAAGGACAAAAATGCCAGCTGTATTCTTGAGAGGTTAAGCATAGACTGGTAAGAAGACAATAGGATTAACCCAATGGATTGATCACCATGCCAAATGAAGGGGTGCAATAGTCTAAAAGTTGATTACATATTACCTCAAACTGAGTGGAAGAAAATACCAAGAGTCATAATGCTAGGACTTGTGGAGAGTATTCTTCCTTGAGTTGCGCATATAATCGGCTCTTGTGGGAGATTTACAAACGATTGCATAGGAATAAAATTTTGTTTTACTTTCTATCGTAAGTATCCAAATATTTCTTGGCAGATAGAGTATACAACGGTACATAAAAATGAAAAGAATAAATTATTAAGTCATAAAAGCTATCTGCATAAAAACTATATAATAAATAAATAAATTACCGAGTCACAAAACCTATACAGAAATGAAACTTTGGGTACAAAATTAAGAACTTTGTGTCAATTTGTAGGGCTGACAAACTCTCTCAATTTCAAACTCGAACTAAATACCCACAAAAGAAATCAAGTCATATTCGTCCTCTTAAGGGGCATCTCGGGTGATTGTATTTGATCGATGGCCAATGAATCGGCTGCCACTTGGTTGGGGTATCCGTGGACTCTCAACTGCTGTCGCACGAGTTGGCGGTTTGAAACGGTTGGCAGGCCAGTGATGGGCGGCAGTTTGACCGTTGTTTTAGATGCAAGTTTCTTCTTGTACTCCCCCTGAGTGTGATGGCCTAGACCTTCATCGTCAGACACACTTTTATCAGAGAGGGAAGAATATGAGGAATAACTCTGGTATTGAGATTCATAAGATGTGAGTGATCCTTGCATTTCAGATGGAAGATCCTCTTTGCTCAAATGCTCTACGCGAGGAGGGTGGATTTTGGAATGAGGCACAGAAGTGGACGTTGAAGGATGGTTAGAGGAGGTGAAACTGAAGCGGCGCCAGAAGTTGCCCTTTTTTCTTCTTGCACCTTGAGCTGAGGTGAGCTGGGTAATGGTGTTGCATTTGGCCTCCAACTCTTTCTCGAGGCTAAGTATGGTTTCGTCTCTTTGTTCCAGTTCCTGGTGGTGTTGCCACAATGCTAACTTTTCTTTTTGGTCAAGAATGTCAATGGCTTGGTGACTTTCGTTCAGCTTCCGTCTTAGTTCTGTGTTCTCTTTTAATAAATTCTCAACCTTCTGCTCAAGAGTTTTTGGACTACATTTGAAAAATTCTGAAATAAAAGACACAATTATTTTATAATTATGTAAATATTTTGAATGCTACTAAAAAAGAGGCACTATTATATAGGTGATCAATGGGTTAAAAACATATTTTGTATAATTTAACTCTCAAAAGTGTAATAAAGATTAAAAGATTTTTCTTTATTCCTAATATTGGGAAAATAAATTACTTTTAAGACGGGAAAAAATGTATATAGTATAATTTATACTGCATATTAGAAAATTAAAAATAAAAAAGAAGTCAAAATGAATTTGACAATTTGCAAATATATAATAGTTTTTTCATATATATAATAATTTTTTTCCTGAAAACATGTAATATCAATTAACTTATAATTTCTGCAGCAATCATCAGAGATAAAAGAGAGATTTTGCTAATTTACTTTTAATTGTGCCCACAAGATTAAAAGAAACTGCATATTCGAGTTTTTTTTATTTTCAGATCTTATGCATTTTTGTATTTTTTTGCATGGTTTTACAAAGTTTCAAGTATGATGTTCATAGCTGTTGAATGTTGTTTGCTGTTCTTTGAATTAACAACATGAACATGTTACAGATAGATAAAGAAGAATGCTATCACAAAATGAAGATAACAGATTCTTTATTACAAAATGTTAAAATGATGTATATAATTTTACAATGATTGGTTGATTTAATAGAAAAAATTAATTTTATTGGTATAAGTTTAAAATTACGGCAGTTCGATTGCATTAAGTCCATAAGAAAATAAATATTTTTTAGTTGTTTTAAATTATTGAATATATTTATTTTAATAATACAATTAGTTCGTAATTTATTGATACCTTTTATACATATACATTTCATTGTTAATAACGTAATACAATGTAATAGATACTTCAAAAATTATTCTTTCAATAAATATCTTAAGAAGTGCAGCGAACAAAAACTAAGTGCTTTAAAATATTGCCCCAGCCCTGCAATAAAATTAAAAAAGTATATACAAAAACAAAATTACATAAAAAATTAACATTTACAAAAAACAGTAATCAAGCATATCATTTTAAGAAATTATTTAAAACTGAGATTAAAAACAGTTATTGTTTCAAAGAGGATTGATTTTAAAAACTAAACAGTAAATAAACAAACATGTTTTCAAAATAAATAAGGTCAAATTGATCAACACTATTAAAAAACCAAAAACTTAACCAACCATTATCAGGAAGAATACATCCAATAACTTCACACCGAAATTGAAGATCTATAAAAAATAAATACCAATGTTAGAATGATACTCAGTAAAAAATCACTTTGATATATAGAAAAAAAATTCCTGTTATATTAAAGAATAAATTATTTAGACAAATGCATAGTATACAGTAAAATATTCATCACAGGAGTCAAGGTTAGCCGGCTTAAATAAAAATGGTTAAAAACTAGACGAATTTAAGAAACTATTGTTTTTAATAGAAATGATTAACTTAAGATAATTACTTAAAAATTTTATTCTCATTAACAATAACATAAATTAAAAGTAATGTACAGAGTTTGTATTTCATTAATAGTGTTATTTTTTATGTGCATTTTTGTTATCTTAAAACTTGATATTTTCTAAGGCGAAGAGCATGAAACTTACTTTTAAGGCTGTGATATTTGAATTTCTGAGTGGTTAAAAATGGGTATATCTTCAGTCGTTATAAATTAAATGTTCTATCTTATCTAAAATATTTTGTATGTTGCTTTATAAATACAGTTAAATTCGTTTAATGAAAACACAATTTCATGAGTTACCAGAATTGATGAGGACATTTTAATAAATCGTCAATTTCTTATTTAAAAAGTTTTATGAAGTTATGCTATTGCCATCATAGCTTTGATTTATTGACTAGTTTTTTTTTTATAAACTTTTTGAAATTTAGTATATTGAAGTTTTTAGAAAAGAAATAGGTTATTTTCTGAAATTTCATTCCCTTTAATAGTGATTTAATATTTTCTTAAGTTAAAATTGCTAAAAAAAATTTAATTTATTGATAGGTAATGAAAAGCAACAATGAGAGCTTCTCTTAAACCCCTCAATTATATGACCAGTTGAGCCATGCATTTATTGCTACAATAAATATGTAAGCTATATGAAATATAGCACTGAAATTTACTGTTGCATCTCAGAATGCTATAATTGATAGTAAGTCTAACTGCAAAAGTTTAAAAAAAGAGGCAGGCCTGTCTTTATGATAATTGGTTTCATGCTCAAAACAGTTATAATAGTTAAAACTGCGAAATTTAAGCTGAAAAATAAGAGACTGTATGTTCAAATCTTTGTATGTTCAAATGGTCGATGCATTGTTTTAAAATAGATATAATATAAATTTTTAAAAGAGAGTAGTTAATGTAGAAGCTATTTTCTCTCTATAATTTCTTCCCTCTATAATTTTTCTCACTATAATTTCTACTCACTATAATTTTTGCTCATTATAATTTCTTCATTTAAGTATTACATATCAAGCTCATTTGTGTAAATAGTTTTGACCAACTCTTATTTAAACAGAAAATTGCCTAGACCTTTACATTCTCTATAACATGACATAACTATAACACGATTGAAACAAATATAGTTCAAGACATTATTTGAAAATAAATTATGCAAGTAATTTATACACAGTTAAAAAATAATGAAATTAATTTTACTCTGAGAAACATTAAAACCTGCTATAATTTAATAATTTTTATATAAGATAGAGTGCCCCAAAATTTCAAACATTTATTAATTTGAAATTATACACATACTATTCAATATTTGATTTATCAAGCCAAATTGACATTGTTCATATTACACTTAAGAATAAGTTATTACCGATTGCAAGCCTCACAGCGGGCAAAAGAAAAAATATCATGGCATTTTTCAATAAAATCAGGAGATTTGAACAGTATACTACATATATACCAGATTACTTTTAAAAAGAGAAAACAACAAATTAAAATATATATATATATATGTGTGATAACAATTTGCTCTACTTAAGTATAACTAAACCAAATTTTATCGCAAAAGAATAATAATATACATTATTTTATTTCAAAATCACTTTGTTTACTAAATGAGTTAGAGCAGATTCAGTATAACTTTACAATACTGAAATTTTATTATACATTGATTAAACAACTAATAATAATTAGAAAACAATACACAGAAAATTTTTATTGTACTCTTATATAAAAAATAATCAGTATTAATAAGTTAATGAATGTTCCCTCATATCAATATTTACTTAAAATTTATAATTCAGTTTATGAACTTTTTAATAAAATAAATTTTATGTAGTTAATTAATTTTACTTTCTGTACAAAATTTAGTAGATGATCCCACAATGCACTACATAAAAATTCTAGGATATGATTAAAATCAACCAGTTTTAAAATCAGATGAAAGAGACAAATCAATAATTGCTAACTACAACTATCCCTTATAAGGATTTTTACTACAATTGTATAAATATGTGTATGGTCTCTGAATTTTTCTTTTCTTTTCTTTTTTTTGTTAATGGCAGGCACTTGTGTCTATTTCCCCATTGGCCTTAGAAATGCCAGAATTGCTACTCTCTTTTCGTTACCCAGTGAGCACCAATGGCTAAACCACGGTGGTGGAGTAGCGTCGCGCACGTCATACAACCACAAACCCGTTTATATGGGGGGTTATATTTACACACAATCACACAGAAGAAAAAGATATAGAACACAGAGAGAGAAAGAAACGTCCATGCCCAGAGCGGGATTCGAATCTGCAAAAATCGGCTACGCAGTCAGGCACGCTAACCACTCGGCCACCCAGTCGGCTTCTTGAAAATATAAAATTATTGATTTGAGTTTTTTTTTTGTTGATAAAATGATGGAGTTTCTAAATAGTTGGAAATTTTGAATCTGGCAGGTAAGACTATATAACTGAACCATGAATTACATTAGAAGGCAGTTCTTAAGTTTGAAATTTTGAATTTTTAGATTTTTAATAAGATTATTATTGTAATTCAATTATTGTAATCCTATGAAATGATACACAATTACTATATAGATGGGCTGAAAAAAATTGATTGCTCAAATTAATGATTTAAAAATCTAATTTCTATTAGTAGAAAAAGAAATTTTCTGTACAGACAAAAGTCAGAACAAAAATATTTTTGATCTATAAAATCAGGAGAATCAAAACAACTAAGAATCAGAGTTCTCTCTAGGAATGAGAAAGGGCACTTTGAGTTTTGAAAGGGCACTTTCTTAACATTGTAAAAATTTATCAAAATGTGTAATCTTATGTAATATTAACTGAATTTGATCCTCAACAATTTTTAAATTATCCTCTTAGATTATTTTATGTGTGTTTTTCAACAAGTAATTCTCACTATCATCGAAATAAGAGAAAAATTTGTAGTTTGTAAAAAATAAATAAAGACAATCACTATGCACAAATGTTTTTCAAATAAAGTAAAGTAAGTAAAAAATAAATGATTATTGATAAATAACTTGAAAGCTTTTGTCGTAATTTAAACTTAAAATTATAAGAAAATAAACATTTAAAGATGCCTTTTTATTATTTTTAAAAAAGGTATTTAAAAAATAATTTTAAAATTTAAAACCATAATGTAAAAAATTCATTAATATACTCTCAAAAAAAGAGAAAATTGTAAAAATTCAACTAGTTGGAAATAATCCTAATAAAATAAATGTTTGTGTTTAATGAAATAAATGAATTAAACCTATAAACACATAGGGAGAACACTGCTTCGAATTCAGAAATTTTTTTTTCCTGCATTATATCCGCGTTTTATATATACATAAAAAAATAGTAAAATAAACTTATTTATGCAAATTTAAAGAAAATACAGACCTCTGCAAAGATTTTGTAGACTTTCGATTTCCTCATGAAGACCTTTTAATAAAATGGCATGCTCATTTTGTAGAAAGGTTATACTTTGTTTAGCAGCTAAAAGTTGTTCTCTAATACTGATTTCATTACAGCTGTCTTCACAGAATGGAACACCATCCTCAGCTGTATCCAACAGCCCATTGGCACATTTTTTGGTTAAAACACAATTAGAAGACACATCCTGTGTCATTTCGTCAATTTTATGAAATTCTGTAGAAAAAGTAAACAATTATAAGAGTTATGTCTACACAAATTCAGACTAAAAAAAAATTAAAATCATTATTAAGATTTCACTTCAATTTTAGAAATAAAATCTGCTAACTTATCCAGGAAAACTTAAACTAATTTCCAGATTAAAATTTTGCTACATATATGTATACACACAGCAAACTTTCATTACCAATACGAAACTTTTTTAAATTCAAAATGCAACAAAGCTTACCTTTTGATAGAAAATGTGCAATAGATTAAATTTTGTAAAGAAACAAAATTTTTATTCAGCAAAGGTAACATGTAGGTATAGTAATCAAGTATAGGACTGGGTGATACGTCAATTCATTGGAAAACACTGATGTTGTGTAATCATTGACGACCCGATGCTTAGGTTTGCGTCTTTTACGAAGCATCAGAAGAGCGATTCTTCAGATTCAACATCGATGTTCGCAAGCTTGCAAACACCATTTCCGCCGATCACGAGGCGACATAGATTGCCGTGACGATCTTTTCCCATGTGTTTCTTCCGTCGCGAATTATCAAGTAGCGCTGTGCTGATACAATGAATTCCGAAGTGACTAGGAGTGAAACTAACTCATCGCCAATGGAGGATGAAAAGGTGCTTTTTTCAATTCGTGCAAATCCAAGAAAAGAAAGTGATTTTCTGAGGATTATTTATGTTTTGTTATTTTATAATACTTTGAGATCATTTTTGTCTTGTTGAAGAAAAGATCGTTTTTGATCAGTTCCGAAAAGACTTCTTGTTTATTTTATTTTTTTAACCTATTTTTCTTTGTTAAATCTGAAGAATGCATTCCTTTTATTTGGATAAAATGCTTTCATTAATAATTTTGTATAAAGCTGCAATTTTGCATATTGACTACGTTTTCAATTATTAAAAAGTGATTATTATTATTGTTACAAAATATAAAAAATCTAATATTTTCGCAAAAAATTTTGGCAAACCAGTTTTTAAACTTATCAAACGCAAATTTTCTTTTTAAGACAGTCGTTTCGTTTTTATTTCTTCAGCATATTCTTTTTCGACTTGATTGCTTTTCGATCTTCCCTATTTATAACGATTTTTATAAGAGTGTGCAGTTAAATTTCATTTTCACGGAATATAGATTAGCAACATAATAATACATTAGGTTAGCAATAATTCTGAAAATAAATTTTAAAAAAATTGATTTTTACAATATTGAAGCCATAATAATTTCTTTTGTATCCTTTTCCAAGAAATTTTATTTTAATACTAGTTTTTTGCTATTTCCTCAAAAATATTGAAGGTTACTACCTTCAATATTTCTACTGCACTCAATAAATTATGGAAGGATATTCTTCAAGAAATTCTAGAGAATGAAAGACCAAGAGGTTATACGCATCGGCTGTTCTAAGTTTTCTATCTTTCGCAATCCATCATTTTTTAAAAATCTTTTTCTATTCCGTTCTTCATTTTTCTGTTTATAAAGATTTTTAAAATTGTTGGCTCAATGCACATTTTAAAATTTTATTTTATTTTTACAGTTGGCTGACATACTTTGGGGCAGGCTAATACTTTTGGTCTATTGATCGGATTTTTACATATTAGGACTTAATCTTTAGTAGTTTGAGGGAGAGACCTCAAATATGCTAATTAGTTTAAGCAGACAATATATTTAATTACAAAGTGAGGCACAAAAACGTACATATCTGAATAAATTTTTTGACGGATTGTGATTCCTGACCCTCAAAATATAAGGCGTAGCCGTAATCTGAGAAATATAGTCCAAATTATTTGGTCAGGAGAGCGATCGAAAGTTAGGATCTCTTGATGTCAATGCTACTTTTTGCGTATTTCATCATATCTCGAAAACTTTTTACTCGAATTGAAACATTTTAACACAAAATTATAAAATTTGTTTATCCAAAGATAATTTTATGCAAAAATGATTTTAATTCATTTTTTTTATTAGTAATAGTCAAAAAAAGTTTGATTGTAAGGTATAATTTTTTTTTTTAAAGAATATAATTTTTTTTTCATACACTGCACTCTATCCACAAATATCAAATATTAATTGCTAAAATATTCATGTTAAGATAAATTTATTACAATATAAAAGCCGAAAAAAATGCATTAATTTCTTCTAATTTTATTTNTATAAGATCGAAACAAATCATTTTTTATTTTAAAATAAAAAAAGTTAAAAGAAATTAGTTTAATAGTTTCTGAAAAATAAATTTCAAAAAATCAGACTTTTTGAAATTCGATCACTAAGTCAAAAGTAATTTTTTTTTCATACACTGTACTCTATCCACAAATATCAAATATTAATTGCTAAAATATTCATGTTAAGATAAATTTATTACAATATAAAAGCCGAAAAAAATGCATTAATTTCTTCTAATTTTATTTTCTAGAAAAATTATTTCCTAATGTAATAATTTTTTAATGTGTTTTTGTCTAAAATACCTAACCATCTTTAAGAATGTTGAAAATTAACAATAATTTTTGTTGGCCAAGGTTGAAACACTATTTCTATTTTTTCTTTTCTTACCTTTCTTAATTCATCCTTAAAGATAATTGACTCATTTTTTTCAAAGCTGCATGTAAAATTTTAATGAATTATTCGTTTCACTAGTTAACTATTTATTCAATACCTTCTTTCTTTAATTTAAAAACTTGCGATTTTTTTCAGCAAAATCTGAAGGTTGAAAAGATGTGTTTTGTTTAAATTGAAAAAGACAGTCTAGTGAATTATTTTAATCCAAAAGAAGAAAATAATCAAAATAAAATAATAAATAGAAAAAAATAGAAAAAAAAACCCATTACAATAAATATTTTTTACTAAACATTGATATACCAGGCTATAAAATCATACATTTAATTTACTCCTATCTTACTTTTTTCCCTATTGATGATATTTTTTATATAACTTTATCGAAATTAAAAACAACATTCAATTATAAATCACTTAGTTGTTTATATAAACTTATAAAATGAATATAATTCGTATAATGTTAGTTAGATGCATTTTGGCAGATTTTCACTTTTTATAAATTTTATCTGAATATCCCTCTCTCGAAATCTTACTCCCTTTTTTCTCCAAGCACACTAAGTTTAAATTTTAAAAATCTGATATATATATTTAAAATTTCAGTTTTAGTCTTACTTTACAGTAGCATCAAATAAATAAAAAGCAAAGTTGTGAAGGAATGCAAAATTTGGCAAAACCAAATGTGAAACAGTAACGTGACATCGCGATGTATCGAAGCATTTAGATGTTTGAGTGGCGATGCATCACAATGCTGAAATCTTAACATCGCCCAGTCCTACTCAAGTTTATATATTAAAGCAATATTTTACACAAAACTGGAACAATAAAAAATTTGAATTAAACATTGTTTATTAAACCCCCTATAGCCATATAGTAAGCCTTCTTATGTATTACTTACAATTTGGAATCAAAATTTATACAGAATCGAATATGGATATGCTCTAACTTATAACAGTTCTACCAACAATTAAAGTTTCCTGCGTGAGAAGTTTCAGCTATCATAATAGACTAGAGATAGGTCACTGAGACTCTTTGAAGAATAAGACACATTTTAGAGTAGATAGGCAGTAGACAAGACAGTTTCATATGCACGTATGAAATGTTAAAAATAATAGAACATTTCTAATGCTTTAATTTCTGATTTTTTTTCCTGCTTCGTATTTTAATGATATGTGAATAGCACTGGTAACATTGAAACCTTATTTTAAACTGATATCAGTATTATTTAGTAATAATGTGTTTCAGTTTTTTATTTCTTACATTCATTCATGGTTTTGGTCACTAAAAAGTTATTTATTCAACTGTCAACTTGAAAATTGTTCATATTTTTTGTGGAAATAATGACATGCAAAAATTTTAGTCTAGTTAGCACTTAAGAACTCAAAATTCATTTAATACACTATCTATTTGATAAATACAGTTTAATAAAAAAGAAAAATATTTTTCATGACCATATATTTTATTCCATGGACAGGGCAAGGATGACTCAGCTTTTCACCCATTCAGTGGGTCGATAAAATAGCATGCTTGGGGACTAAACACTGGGGGTTCTGCATTTGGCTGACCACCAAACTGGAACTGCTCCTGCATCCCAGAGCCCAAGTTCAAGAAAACTGAGATCGGCTCAGTAGGCATTGGCTCTCTATGGGCTGTCACAGAACTGAGTTTAGTTTAGTATGTTTTATAAGATAAAAACCATTAAAAATATATTTTTGTAATCTTTTTAAATAAATTGTAAACCAGAATTTTATACCCTTTGCCTCTGTCACCTTGCGGTGGTTGCCTGTGTTTGCCTAATAAAAGGTCCAGCCCTCTTATTAAATTATAAGTCGTGCCACAATCCTCATCATCCCACTTCTTCAGCATTGTGTCCTAGTTACTTGCAAGCCCTATCTAATCTCAAATCACATTCCAAATACAATTGAGCACAAAATTTGCCTTTTCAGAATTACAAATTTTATTCTTTGACTTTTCAGACTTTTGAAATTTCCCAAAGCTTTGACTTTTGAATACTTTTTTTTTTACTTTTCAGACCTCTGAAAAACTTATTTCTCTTCTTCACATTTTTGGCACATTTCAAAATTTTTCAACATTGATCACTGAATTCATTTCTTACGCCATTGGCTTTTACAATCTTTGATATTCCCAAAGCATTGTTCCTCCAATACCTAATGCTCTTTTATTGTGTAAACTTCTCATTTGTTTTTTTCCAAATTTTCATTGCACATTATATTTTGTAAGCCATTTATACTTATTGCTAATGTAATTATTTGCGTTTTATGTATGTTTTATATGTAGAATGTATGTTCTACTCTCGTGTGCCCTTGAATAGGGCTGGTCGAGATACGAATAAACAATATATTTTATCCTTATGCCTATGATAAAGCCCATATTTTCTGTTTCAAGTTGTTAATTAGATTTTTCTTCTAAGTTATTTCTTTAGTTAAGGTGTAACTACAAAAACATTTTGCAACTATAATTTTTTAAGACTATAAGCACTTTTAATACCATAATCTCACACAAAATGTCAGTAACAAGTATTGTCCATGATCATTACTTAAGTACATTCCGAGACAATAATATATAGAGATAAGTTTTTCTTTTTCATTTACCTAAATACAGCCGAAACTGAATCATGTATTATTTAACATGATTCAGGTATTACATATTTAGCAAAGGATTGTGTGGTCAAGAATGTAAAAAAAAAATAATAATAAATAAAGAACAGGACATTAAAATGCAAGCTTAACTAAACTTGGAGAAAAGTAAAGAGCAATGAGAACAAGTACCATCTATTCCTGTCTGCATAGGTTCACTTATATTTATAGTTTGAAAAAGTTTTTTTTTTTAAACTTTTTCATTTGTAACTAATAATAAGAAATACAAAATCTTCATCAAAATATAATTCAAATTAATAACTAAAATAAACCTCTTAAATTTTGGACTGTACAGAAAATAAATATGTTTAAATAAAATAACTATTAAATATTCAAAACATTTAATTATATTGTTCAAATACGACTGTTGTAAACTATTAAATTATAGTTACATTTTTTAATGTAGGTAAAAAAAATACTTACCAATAATAGTAAAATAACCAAACAAATAAAATGAAAGAAATAATTCACATGATTCAAAACACTTGAAAGGAGTTGAAATGATAGATATTCACAACTAAGAAAAATAAAACCTCTCTTCAAAATAAAATAAATAGGCAATAGTAGGCGAGTCAATGAACTTTACTTGATTACACGATGAGTAGAAAAATATATTTTACTACTTAAAAGCGAGAGCAAAATACTGATTTTCGAAAAAATACATCCAAATTTTAACTAATATTTGAACGAAATGAAAAGTCTTCTTACCAAGCTATTTTTAGAAACAACGCCAAAAACAAAGCACAGATTGGTAATCATGCGGAACATTTCCTCACTTTAAGGCCATTATAATCTAGAAATGACCGCATTTGTAACAAATTTCTAAAACAGATAAATACTTTCATATGTACATTCTTTAAATAATATTCAAAATTATTTTTTCTCTTTATAATTTAATATTATTATAAGATCGAAACAAATCATTCATACTTTGAAAGATAAAGGTTCCAAATAAATGTTTCTTATGAATGATTAAAATAACGCATTAATAACTAAAACTAAATATGGATCAATGATTTAAATAAATTTAAAATGATGAAATTAATTAAATAAGAAAATGGATTGTAAAATATTCTTCTTTTCTTTGTTTCATAATTGTTTTTGTTGCTATGCGACAGCTAGCGATGAGCTGCCATTATTTAGTCAATTTAAGTGAAATTTTCGAAAACAAATAATAAATGAAATTATTTTGAAATAAAAAATAATTCTTTTAAACTTAAATGTCATAGTTGTTCTTTGAAAACTATTTTATGCACGAAGCTGCTTTAAATAAACAAGAAATTTATATTAATTTAAAATTATGCTATGAGGAAAGCGCTTTGAAATAACTAATATTTATAAAATGCAAGGTGGAATAAGGTAAAGGTGCATTTCGAAAGTAAATTAATGGAGGAAATGTAAACACAGCTTTTATAGGATTTTTTATTTAATATTAGGTAAATTAGTTCATAAATTGTTAACCAAATGATATTTCTTATAGAAACGATACATTTTTAACAAACAAAGTACAAACCTTTTTTTCTCATTTTCTGCTACCAATATGAAATATGATTTATAGTATTATTTAACATTTTATTGACTGAAGAAACTGCTTTATAAACGTGTCCTAGTAATTTTCATAATTAATTCGTAATCTAGTTACGGAAATATTTCTAATAACGATGCATTATTTCGATTTTTAAATTCAACTGAATTTTTCCGGATGAGTGCATCACTATTCAATATTTGTTTTAATAACGAATGTGTTATAACTATATCTGGAAAGTATTTAACTAATACCAGGAAAGAAAGTAATTGTTATTATTGTAAAACAATATTTTTGTATTTTCCACGTGTTCTGTATATTTCACTAAAGAGTCTAATTCAAATAATAAGTTATTAAAACATATAACGAATTCTGTAGTATAATTGAACTGATTATGCATTTAGCAATAACCCCTTTTTGATTGAATTCTGAGGTATTGCTGTCGGAAGAAAAGTAATAATTAGACAACAACATTTATTATAAATGAATTTGTTTTTTATATGTTGTTTATATTTTATATTACATGCAGTATATCTAATTCAAATAAGATATTCAAAAAATAAGTTTGTCCAATTTACTAGCTTATTATTAAAATAATAAGTAATATAATGGATGTGATAGTATTAATGCATTTATTATGTGTTTCAATAATTTCCTTTTTGAAGGAAGTGAGAATTTAAACTATCTGGAAAGAAAATAATTAGTCTATTTTTGCCAAAAGACTTCAGTTCTAAGAAATAAACATAACACATATGATCTTTTAAAGTATCACAAGTGATATTCATCAAGTGTCAGAGAAAAATACTGAACTTTCCTTTTTAACATGAAGAGAGACACATGGGTCAACAGCTCACTGTTTGCCAATGACAATATGTTTTATCTCTATGTTAAATAAATTACTTTTATTATATAATTTACCTAATTTTTTTCATTAAACCCTTCCATTATCACACAATCAGCAATTATTTTAAGAGAATATTTTTATATCTATATACATATATTTACAGTGTTCTCCCTAAGCATTTTTTGAAGGGCAACCCATTCTGTTTGCCCTTTCATCGAAATAAATGCTCCCGTTTTGTAAAAAAACGCTACCATCTCTTAAAAACACTGCCTTTTTACTCATACTTCATTTTGAAAAAAAAAAGAATTAATTCCCTATTTAAATAATAATTACACAATGTTAACTCTCTGTGTTAATAGGTTTAATTCTGATTACTGTCACAAATATTTACTTTGTTAGGATTATTCTCTACTGGTTATGGGGGGGGGGGATATTAATAAATTATTTAAGTGATTTAAAATTTTAAAACTAGTTCTTAGATAAATAACTTTTTTTTTTTTTAAATGCACATTTAAATGTTCATTTTCTCATAATTTTCAGTTAAAATTATAGAAAAAAGTTTTCAAGTTGTTTATCAATTAATAATTTTTTATAAGTTTTACTTTTTTGTGAAAAATAATATGCAAAAAATTTGTCTTTTAGCATGATTATACATTATTTTTATTGACTACAAATTTTTCCCTTATTTTGATAATGAGACAGAATTACTTCTTGAAATATATTCATAAAATTGTATAACAGGGTAATTTGAAAACTGTTGAAGATGAAATTTAGCTCTTACACAATATTACATATTTAGAGAATTTTTTATGGTACATATTTAGAGAATTTTTTATTTTTTATGCTCTATCAAAACTCAACAGAAGGGCCTTGATCTGTTTTATTCCTTGAAAGAACTCAGTATATATATATATTACAAAATATCACCATACTACATATTTTTTTATATTTTTTTTTAAAATTTAAACTTAGAAAGGAATACTGTCTAATATTATAAAGAGTAATGCTTTAACAAAGAGAACTAAATTGCTATATGAATTGGGGTATAACCTTTAATATACTATGAAATGGGCAATTCCCTGAAAAGTAAGACATTATGTATGATTTTCCCCCCTTCAAATTACATTGATGTATTCAATATCCTTTTTCAGTTGAAAATACAGAGAAGTTTTGTTTTTTATAATGGTCTAAAAAGTAAAATTTTTTTTTTTACCAAAAATTTATAATTTCAATGTCAATTTCTTAACACCAATTCATATTGTAATTTTGTTTCCTTTTTGAAGTATTTATTTTTTTATAACTATAAGTATTCTTTTTTCAGTTTATGTTCAAAGAATTGTAAAAAAATATGTACTTCTGTGATAAAAAGTGTTAACTTAATTGTTCTTTGAAGCATAACAAGGATAACAAAAACTTAAATTTCTCTAAAATTCTAATTTTTTTTTAAAATAAAAATATCCATATGGATGTGCTGCTTACTTTTATTTATACTATCGCCAAAGGTTTCCAATTGGTTCATACAATTTTTTGCAATTATTCTAAATTTAACTAAGCATTACGAAAATAACCACTAACTTTTTTGTATATTAAATTATTTTTGTCATTTAAACTAGGTGCGATATCTACAAGAAGATTGAAGTTTTATAAAGTAGCTAAATTTAAATTCAACATAAATGAGCAAAACAAAATAACAAAAAATTTTGATCAGAATAATAAATCCTTGTTGTAGATAATAATTTTATAGAATATCTAAGAACAAATTTAAAAGCACCAAACTTATTCAATTTGGTAAGAAAGTGCAAAAACGTAACAACCAAAATAACTTTTGATTTATTGATTGTATTTTTGCTTGCTAGAAGTCAATTTTTTGATTTAAAGGTGTGATCCCAAATATGCCAATCAATTAGTACAGATAAAATTTAAAATTACTAAATGAGATACGAAAACATACTTTCTCTTAAGTTAATAAGCCTTTTTGATGACCAATTTGGATTTCTTATTAAAACATGGGAGGTCGCCACAATCTGGGAAATATGCCCCAATTGTTAGGTCTGGAAAGCTAGTTCCCAATTGTTAATTACACTTCGCATAATTCCCTATTTCCTTAGGACTTTTTTAAGCGAATGGAAACATTTTTGCACACAATTGTCAAACTTATTTATCCAAAGATAATTTCATGCAAAAAATAATTTTAGATAATTATTCATTATTTCATATTTTATTTATTAAGAGTTGAAAATTTTTTAATTAGGTGGTTTACAGTTTTCATCTTTTCAAAAAATGTTATTTTACATTGCAAAATGTATTATTTGATTAAACATGCTACTTTTTTTTAAATTTGATAATGGAGTATAATTTCTACAGGAAAAATTGGAAATGTCCTAAAAATCAAGATGAATATAAAAAGATAGAATTGTGAAAAATTGAGTTTACCTTTTGTTGCTAATTTTAGAAATAATTTTTGTTTTAAAAATTTTAATAAATGCATCAATATAAACTTATTTATAATCATAATATATTTTTTATGTTCTTAAAAGGTCACTATTTTTTTATTCATGCTTTTGAAGACTGTGTATATCTAAGGGAGTATTTGCAAGTCTAAAGCATAAAGATTGTCTACAGTATCACCTACCAAGATTAAACAAGGCCAATGCAATTTCATTTTAATTGAAAACATAAATACTTAAATTTTATCAATTGGAGACAATCTTCAACAGTTTAAATTCACAAATAATTTCTAATAATTTCCTATTGATAATACCCAGAATGTATTTCTCTTTATGTTTCTGTTTATCATAACTTTGAAATCTGTTTTCAGATTGTTTGTGCAATGTCTGGCAAAGTGAAGAAGAGATCTGCTACCAACTCTGCTGATTCAGCTACTCTAACACTGAATGAGAGAATTTTAAAAGAGTGTCATGACTTCTATGTAGACCAAAAAAATGGTAATATATTTTTTTTTTATTTATTTATTTATTTTTTTTTTTGTAAGAAATTCTATTTTACAAAAAAAATTCATGTGACATAAATCTACCATAGACATTTCAACAGATCTAGTTTATCTTGATAAGTTGGATATCTCTCATTTAAAACTAGTTTAATGTCTTTATCTTTACATTAAGCATATTAAGATAAAGTTTACTATTTTAATTTGTTTGACACTCTGAGTATTGGTACCGACTTTTTCTGAGCTTTAAGCTGCTGACTTTTCCAGCAACAAAAACTGTTTTTTCCCATGTTACTCAATGGGGTGCATATAATTAAAATTTAATGCAATTTTATGTTATAATAATATACCATAATTTTTTCTCTCTATTTGAACTACTGTAATCCTTTGTAATTTTAATTCCTCAAGAATGTTTGCCTATTTTAAAAATAATCATTTATGATTAGTTTTTAAAATTAGGTTATTATCCAGTTTTTTTTTTTTTTTTTTTTTTTTTTTTTTTTTTTTTTTTTTTTTTTTTTAATTTTGGTACTAGATCAATAGATTTTACTAAATTACATAAAAAAATAAAGTAAAATCTTGTAAATTATAGTTATTTAAACAATAATTTCCAAACAAGTGAAGATAAATTAAATTGATTATCTAACTTTCATTAATATATAATTCAGCTAAATTAACTTGAAATATAAATCAAAATGCTTTCAACTTGCTTTGAATGCGCTTTTAGTAAAGGTGGGAAGGTATTTGTTTTTACGAGGAACACATTGTCAATTGGGGTCTATAAAATGTTAAATTTTTTTAAAAAAATTTATATGAAATTATTACGTTATTAACGATAAAAATTTCATTAAAATTTTGTAACTTTTAGTATGATTTGAATTTTACATTTTTTGAGCATCTAGACAGTTTGTAGTGTTTTGAAATATAATTAATATCAATTTGTTTCATTTATGAAAAATTATCAGTTTTTAGGAAACATAATTTTTTGTAGCTTGGAAAAGTAATTGAATTTTCTTGTACAAACTGGGACATATAATTCATAAATTAAGTTCATATATTATTATAAAGCATAAAACTGTTTTTTCTTCATATTTTAATCATACCTTTGATTGAAACTCATTAGTATTCAATTTTTTATGATTGCATTAAAATTAAATAAGGTTTTAGAAATTTTTTTCTGAGTTTTATACTTACATTTAAAAATTTAAATTCCTTACTTTTTACGTATAAAAAAAAGTTATGAATAAACATTTTTATGAGAAAAATATTGAAACATTATTTGACTGATAAATTGTTTGTTTATTCATTTTTTAAAGATATTGACTAGTAAATTGAAGTAGTTATTTTTCATCCTTTCTTAATATTATTCGTTACTACTATTATTACTTTATTTCTGTCATTATTCTAAATTAAAGACTCAAAACTACTAAAGTTCTTTTGTTACATAAAGTATTATTGCATTTAAATAATATTGTAATTTTGCATTATTATGTGAAATTTTATAAAAAATATACTGGAAACAATGACTTAAGCAATTAAAATCTAAAGTGTAAATAAGTTATATTTATTTATATATATAAAAATTTTTATATGAAACAGTTTCCAGTTAAAATTTTCAGTTAAAATAATGAATGTTGTTAGGAATTAACTTTATAAACATTACTAAACAATCTGTTTGGCAAAAAATATTTAACTCACTGCTAAAAAAAAGTTACATTTCAACATGCAGTCTTCTCTTTCTGGCGAATCCAGTTTTTCCTTGTTATTAGATAAATAAATAATGCATTGAAAAGAAGCATTCTTTCAATTTTACCCATTTGTTATACTGTCAGTGTGTAAAGCAGTTTTATGCAAACCGAAAGTTATAAGGAATTTAAAAAATAAAATTGTAGACTAAGTAGCAATGGTAAGCAAAAATTTGAATTTTATCCCAATAGACTCAGAACTAAATCTGTGTTAATGCAATTAAATATTGGGATCTTTTACTTGAATAATTTTAAATTTTTATGTAAGATATTTGTAAGAGTTTTTATGTCATTTTTTTTTTGTTTTTAAGAAATAAAAGTAATAACCTAGCAATTTAAAATTTTCCCAAAAAGTTACAGTGCAACAAAACAAGTTGTAAATAGTTATCAAATATTTAACTTTCATTTTAAAAACAAATCCTGCAATCTATTCATGGATTCAAGAATAAAAATTTAAAATTTCTTTGAAAAAAACCTGGAAAAGCCTGGATTTTTGATGCAAACCCAGGTAGGTTAAGCTTTATCAAGAGCACTGATTTATAAATTTTCGATAAGACACAATATTTAAATGTAACCAAATTTGTGTATAATATTGTGTATCAATTATTATGTGTTAATATTAAGTATTCTAGCAAAATATTGTATTTAATAATTAATATGTTTAAATACAGTCCTCCAAACAAAAACGGACCAACTTGAATAACTTTTGATCTAATGATCGGATCTTCACATTCTAGGACTCTATCTTAATGACCTGAAGGGGTGACCCTAAATATGTTAATTAACTAGTGTGTACGATATTTTAAGTTAAATCAGACACAAAAATGAACTTTTTCTAAAAAAGCATACCCTTTTTTTGACGGATTCGAATTTCAGACCCCCCCAAACTATAGGGAGTAGCCGCAATCTGGGAAATATGCTCCTAATACTTTTTTCAGGAGAGTGCTCCAAAGTTTGGACCCCTTAAGGTTAATTTTACTTTTTGCGCGTTTCGATATATCTCGAGAACTTTTTATAAGCAAATTGAAAAATTTTTGCAAGCAATTATAAAGTTTGTTTGTCCAAAGATGAAACCGTGCAAACAATGGCTTTTGGTAAATATTTATTATTTCATTTAATAGCAGTCTAAAATTTTTTGAACTGTAAGGTATATAATTTTTTGCATTATTTTACATCACAAAATACAAATTTTTGAGCAAAATCAGTCAAACAGGTCTTGAGAAATCGAATTTTAAATATCTAACTTTTTTAAACTTCCATTTCTCAGGAGTTTATGTAAAATTATATTTAAAATCGTGCAAAAAATTTTATACATTACAATTCAATATTTTTTCAACCATTATGAAATATAATAAAAAATTATAAATGTTTACTAAAAGTTATTTTTTACATAGAATAATCTTTCGATAAACGAATTTTATAATTATGTTTTATAAAAAATTCTCGATATGTTACGAAATGCGCAAAAAGTAAAATTAACATTAAGGGGTCCAAACTTTGAAGCGACTACCCTCTATATTTTGGGAATCCCTAAAAAAAAAGAAGGTATGTTAATTCAGAGAAAGTACGTTTTTGTGTCTTTTTTAATGTTTACAATATTGTCTACACTTGTTAATTAGCATATTTGAAGTTATTTTGGATGGTCCGCTTACATATCAATTTAAAGTATTTTTTCTGTTTTTATTAAATGTATTCCTCATTATGTTTTAGTATTTAATGTTATTACTACATATGTATATTGTCTCCTGAGGTGCAGAAAATTTTCGTATCCAAATATTTCCATCAAACTCAGTTCTTTTGAATTGAAATTTCCTAGAAGAGTGATTTTTTTGTTGTTACAATTACTTTTTCAAATATTTTTAGAAAGTAAAGTTTGTTATTGCTAAAATCTTTTCATAATTTTTTCTTCAACAAATAGAAATGATTCAATCAATCATTAAGGATTTGCACAGATCTTGAACAAACTAGCATGAGTCAAAATTAATAGATATAAAAATATATTTCGATAGTAATAATTTTTTAAACTAAATTTAAGGTCCCTGTCATAGACTTAAATTCAATTTAATAAATATTTTCAAATTGACATATAAAGTTACTTGTGTTATATTTAAAATAACCGAAAATTTTCTTCGAACCTAACAGAAATATTCTTTCATTTTTGTCCATCAAAGCAATTTTTTTTCTTGTAAGATTTATTTAAACAGGAAAAATTTTCCATTCCTATTTTTTTTACAATTAAACATATTTTAAGTGTTTGTTTTTTTTACAATAAAAATTATTGCAGACATTTTTTTGTGTATGTTAAGTAGACCAAAAATTTCTTCAGAGCTTCCTGAATTCGCTCGATCAAACATATTCCACACCCCTGGTTGTCTTAAAATCTATTTGTTGTAAATAACAAAAAAAAAACTTATTGAAATCTTTTCACTATTCCCCTTTATTATTAATTTATTATGATTGAAGCGGTATATGATGAGATATAATTATGTGATATAATCTGTAGAAATTCAATATTTAGTTAATTTAAAGTTAAGCAGTATAGCTCAAAGCAACAAACTCAAATTTAATTTAAATATTTGCTACATTCCTGGAATTTTACAATGTATATGTGTCATTAATTTTCAATAACATATTAAATTTTATTTTTTAATTTGTGAAAATTTGAAAACTCTTTTTATACATTTATTGATTAAAAATAATTTTTTTTCTTTCTGAAAATAGCATTTTATTTTAATAGTTTGAACTTTAATGTGCCATACCATTTAATTTCTCACAAATTTGTAAATGGAAGTATTGGCAGAATGTTTGTTCATGTACTCAGTTATATATTTATTTTTTGCTTTTATTTTATTTTTTTATGCTCTTTTAACTATCTTAATAATATTATTTTTTTTTAGTTTGTTAATATTTAGGGGATGGTCAAAATAATTTCTTTTTACACTTATGAAATGATTATACCAGGGTTGGGTTTTTGACGTCAAAAAGTGGTTTTTGACATGACAAGGGTATAATACTGGTTTAAACCGTCAAAAACCCGTCAAAAATGTCAAAAACTGAAGTTTGCCAANTGTTTGTTCATGTACTCAGTTATTTATTTTTTGCTTTTATTTTATTTTTTTATGCTTTTTTAACTTGCTTAATAATATTATTTTTTTTAGTTTATTAATATTTAGGGGGTGGTCAAAATAATTTCTTTTTACACTTATGAAATGGTTATACTAATATATACGCAGAGCCAAACGAAAATTAAGAG